AATCACAAAAGTAGTATTTATATGTACAAAAGTACTTACATGCATTAAAGTGGTACCGAAGATACTAAGGGTAGTTTGGACAAATGAACATTGTTTTCTATGTGCATATCAGATTTTGGTCAAACTTCATATTTAAAAAGTGTTGACTTTCACTCCATCTCTAAGTAATAAAACTCCCAAAATTAACCTTTTTGTGATTTTCCAAAAAAAAAAAAACTAATAAACCTATCTAAAATATTTTGGATTGTTATATATATATCTATGTTTGTGGGGCCCATAATATTTTAAGTCATCCATGATGACATCCTTGGCGTGGGGAGGAAGGTCAATTTTTTGTTTACAGTGAAAGCCTTATTATGGCTTGTTTGGGAAGCTTTATGTTAAGCCTATAAAAGGCCATATGCACCATTGTTTTGAATATGCTTGAATGAAAACAATTTCATTTCTCTCTCTTTCATTCTCTCTCTCTCTGAAAGCTTTTTACTTTCTCTCACTTAAATTACTCTATATATATACACATATATTTATTATACGTTATCAGCACGAGCTCTAGTCATCTGAGATTTAAAGTAGAAACTTTCTTTCCCTCTTTCTATCTCAACTATATATCTATTTTGTGATATTAGTTTTGATAGATTGTTGGGTTTGTTTGCTTTATCAAAGAACATTGTATTTCTGACTCCAAAGGGTAAGAAAATTTTAATTATTGATTATTGATCATAAAATAAATTTGTTCACTTAAATGATATATATGCTCACATTATGGTCGGTTCTACCACCTTTATTATTTAATGATCTACTAATTATGGCCGGTTTTACCACCTTTATTATTTAATGATTTATAACTGGTTTTACCACCTTTGTTACTTAAATAATTTATATTATGTTATTATTTCACTGAATGCCATTTTATATACTATGTTACATTATATTTTTATATTGTTGTCACATCTAGTTATTTTGAAAATGTCAAACTTGATAAAGCTGGAATTCGTGGTCTTTGACATTTCTTGCAAAAATTATTTATCTTGGATTTTGGATGCTCAGATCCATTTAGATGCCATGGGCTTCGGAAACACAATTAAAGAAGAGAATGATGCATCATTACAAGATAAAGCAAATGCTATGATTTTTTTTCGGCGCCATATTAGTGAGGAGCTAAAAATTGAATATCTGACTGAAAGAGATCCACTGTGTTTGTGAAATTTTTTGAAAGAAAGATATGATCATCAAAAAACAGTTATCTTCCCAAAAGCTCGGGCTGATTGGCAGCAACTGCGGTTACAAGATTTTAAAACTGCGGCCGAATATAACTCTGCCTTATTTAAAATCAGTTTTACATTGAAATTGTGTGGTGATACCATCACTGATGAACTTTTGTTGGAAAAAATATTCACTACATTTCACGTCTCGAATGTACTCTTACAACAACAATATCAAGAGCGTAGATTTGAAAAATATTCAGAGCTGATATCATGTTTACTTGTGACAGAGCAAAATAACGAGCTTTTGTTAAGAAACCACCAGTCTCGTCTAATTGGATCGACACCGATTCTCAAAACATATGTTACTTTATCCCGTGGACGTGGTCGTGGTCATAGTCGTGTTGGTAGAAATGACTATAATAATGAATATGGTCGTGGTAAAAATAACTACCACAACAATAAATATAGTCGTGGTAGAAATCACTCCTATTACCGTGAATGATATCAATTCTCAAATTCTCGCAATAAGAGATCCTTACTATATCCCCAAAGGAGATATTATAATGAATGAAACAAGTAAAATGAAAGGATGTGGCTTAACCTCCAAAGGCACATGATAATACTTGTTATCTGTGTGAAATGACAGGGCATTCGCAAAATATTTATCGTACACCTAAGCATCTGGCTGAACTTTACTAAGCCTCAATGAAAGAAAAGGGGAAACAAAAAGAAATGAATTTCATTGATCATAATGAAATTATTGACATCACAAATCTGAATGTATCAAATTTTTTTGAGGATTATGATGGAAAGATAGATATCCTGATTGGTGATGGAAATGTCCACACCAATTAATCCTATTTTCATTTCAGGTTCTGTCTATTGTGTTATCTTCAACAAGTTTTTATTTTTCTTGTATTAAAGTTTTTATTTTCTAGTTTGTATTAAAGTTTCTTTTGTTATAAAAGTTTCTTTTCTGATAAAGAAATTTGCATGAATAAGAATGGATCTAACTTGTTCCAAAATAAATGGTGAAGATATATGTCTTGCAGATAGTGGAACAACACACACAATCCTCCGAGATCAAAGAATTTTTCTTACCTAACTTTGACATACGCTAGTGTCAGTCCAATATCAGGTCCCACCGACTTGATTAAAGGCTCCGGACGAGCCAACATCATTTTACCACATAGAACAAGATTACAAATCAATGATGCCTTATATTCTACAAGATCTCAGAAAAATCTGTTGAGTTTTAAAGACTTGCGTTGTAATGGGTATCATATTGAGACCGTAAATGAAAGAAATGTGGAATATCTCTATACATTACTTCCATTACCTCATGCAAGAAGCAGATTTTAGAAAAACTCTCTATTTTCTCTTCTGGGTTATACTATACAACCATTAGAACAATTGAGTCAAATGTTGTGATACATAAAAAATCTTGTGACCTAAAACTTTTTATGATTTGGCATGATCGACTTGATCACTCGAGGAGTACAATGATGCATCAAATTATTGAAAATTCACATGGACACCCACCAAAGGATAAAAAAATTATTTTACCAAATAATCATCTATGCACCACCTGTTCACAAGGTAAGTTGATTATTAGACCATCCCCTTCAAAAGTCATTTTTGAATATCCCTCATTTTTACAACGAATTCACAGGGATATATGTAGGCCAATTCATCCACCCTGTGGACCATTTCGCTATTTTATAGTCTTAATTGATGCCTCAATACGATGGTCGCATGTTTGTCTGCTTTCTACTCGTAATGTTGCATTTGCTAGACTTCTTGCCCAAATTATCAAATTACGGGCACACTTTCCTGATTACCCAATTAAGACAATCCATCTTGATAATGCTGCTGAATTTTCTTCTCAAACTTTTGATGATTATTGCATGTCAGTTGGAATTAATGTTGCACACACTCATACTCAAAATGGTATGACCGAATCTTTTATTACAAGATTTCAGTTAATTGGTCGTCCTTTGCTTATGCGAACAAAATTACCTGTTTTTGCCTGGGGACATGCCATATTGCATGCTGCATCATTAGTTTGTATACAACCAACTGCTTATCATAAGTACTCACTATTGCAACTTGTTTTTGGTCAACAATCAAATATCTCTCACATACGAATTTTTGGTTGTGCTGTATATGTTCTAATTGTACCACCCTAACGCACTAAAATGGGTCATCAACGTAGACTTGGAATTTATGTTGATTTTGATTCTCCATCTATTATTAGATATCTTGAATCTCTGACATGTGATGTCTTTAAAGCATGATTTGTTGATTATCATTTTGATGAGGCTGTTTTCCCACCATTAGGGGGAGAAAAGGCACAGCAGCAACATGATATTACTTGAAATGCCCTGAAATTGTCTCATTTTGATCCTCGCACAAATCAATGTGAACGAGAAGTTCAGAGGATCATTCATTTGTAAAATGTTGCAAATCAATTACCTGATGCATTTACTGATACAAAGAAAGTAATAAAATCACATATACCAACTGCAAATGTTCCAGCACGAATTGTTGTCCCTGAGGGACCTTCTGTCAGTAATGTAGCAAATACATCTAAAATACGCATAAAACGTGGTAGACCAATCGGTGCAAAAGATATTGTTCCTCGTAAGAGGAAATCACAAAGAAAAGTTGGCACTACTGAAGAAGCCATAAAAGGAGTAACAGATATTATTGATCAATCTAAAATAATAGCCTTTGATAAGGCAGAGGCTCTTGATGAGTCTTAGGTACCTAAAAATGATGAAATGATAAATATTGATGAGGCAAAGGTAACAGATGATATAGCCTTTGATGAGGCACATGTCCTTGATGACGCAAATGTACCTAAAAATGATGAGATCTCACTAAATTATGAAACGAAATGGAATAGAAATGAAATTGTTATCGACAACATATTCTCATATGTCGTTGCTCTTGATATTAATAATGAGGACCCGGAACCTCAAAACGTCAAAGAGTGTCGACGAAGAAATGATTGGCCAAAATGAAAAGAAGCTATATAAGCAGAACTAAATTCATTAACTAAACGTGGTGTATTTGGACTAGTAGTCCAGACACCTGAGAGTGTTAATCCTGTTGGGTACAAATAGGTATTTGTACGAAAGCGTAATGAGAAAAATGAAATCTTAAGATACAAAGCCCGATTGGTAGCCCAAGGTTTCTCACAGAGACCTAGTATTGATTATGAGGAAACATACTCCCTCGTGATTGATTCACCCACATTTAGATTCATAATACATTTGACAGTGACTGAAAGATTGCATATGCATCTAATGAACGTGGTTACAACATATTTATATGGATCACTAGATAGTGATATTTATATGAAAATCCCAGAAGGATTTAAAATGCCTGAAACAAAATTACGTAATATGTACTCGATAAAATTACAACAATCCTTATATGGATTGAAGTAATCTAGACGAATGTACCCGCCTTAGTGATTACTTACTCAAAGAAGGGTATGTGAACAATCATCTTTATCAATGCATTTTTATTAACAAATCAGAATCTAGTTTTGTTATTATTGTAATATATGTTGATGATCTGAATTTTGTGGGAATATTGGACGAGATCGAAAAGACGGCTACTTATTTAAAGAAATAATACAAAATGAAAGATCTTGGAAAGACAAAATTCTGCCTTGGGCTGCAAGTTGAACATTTTTCAAGCGATATTCTCATTCACTAATCAACATATACAAAAAAGATTCTGAAACGTTTTCATATGAATAAAGCCCATCAATTGAGTTCTCCAATGGTTGTCCGATCACTTGACATCAAAAAAGATCATTTTCGTCCTCAAGAGGATGATGAAGAACTCCTTGGTCCTGAAGTGCCCTATCTTAGTGCGATTAGTGCTCTTTTGTATCTTACAAATTGCACAAGATCTGACATAATTGTTCCAGTCAATTTATTAGCAAGGTACAGTTCTGCACCAACCCACAGACATTGGAATGGAATTAAACACATATTGCGATATCTTCGTGGCACAACTGATATGAGATTGTTTTATTCAAAGACGCCAAATTCTCAATTAATTGGATATGCAGATGCTGGTTATCTCTCTAACCCACATAAAGTTTATTCACAAACAGGATATGTGTTTAAATGTGGTGGCACTGCTATATCATGGCGTTCTATGAAACAAACAATGATTACAACTTCTTCAAATCATTCTGAGATACTCCCAATTCATGAGGCAAGTAAGGAATGCATTTGGTTGAAGTCAATGATCCAACATATTCGAACAACATGTGGTCTCTTATCAATAAAAAAAAGTCCAACAGTATTATATGCAGATAATGCGGCATGCATTGCACAGATGCAAGAATGGTATATTAAAAGTGACATGACCAAGCACATCTCACCAAAATTCTTTTATGCACATAAACGCCAAAAAAAGAGTGATATTGATATTCAAAAGTTATGTTCATTTGAAAATTTAGTAGATCTATTCACTAAAATGCTTCTAACTATAACATTCAAGAAGCTGGTGCATAACATTGAAATGCGTCAACTAAATGATCTTTAGGGTTGAATTAATGCAACAATGAGGGTGAACAATTGATCGAAGAGGTATTGGCATACTTTACTCTTTTTCCTTCGTCCAGGTTTTGTCCAACTAGGTTTTCCTGGCAAGGTTTTAATGAGGCAATTTTAATATATGCAATACCATTTTCAGATAGACATGAATACTGTACTCTTTTTTCTTCGCTAGGGTTTTGTCTCACTGGGTTTTCCTTAGCAAGGTTTTAACGAGGCATATTCTTAGTGTAATATTGTGGACCCCAAGGGGGAGTGTTATATATATATCTATGTTTGTGGGGCCCATAATATTTTAAATCATCCATGATGACATCCTTGGTGTGGGGAGGAAGCTCAATTTTTTGCTTACAGTGAAAGCCTTATTAAGGCTTGTTTGGGAAGCTTTATGTTAAGCCTATAAAAGGCCATATGCACCATTGTTTTGAATATGCTTGAATGAAAACAATTTCATTTTTCTCTCTCTTTGAAAGCTTTTCACTTTCTCTCACTTAAATTACTCTATATAAATACATATATATTTATTATATGGATGAGGTTTTTCATATTTTTTTGAGGACAAAAACATGTGCTTCATAGCTTTGTCCTTTTTCTTTTCCTCTGTTTTATTAACAACCTAACTGAGAACTAGGGTTTACTATTCATTACACTCCCTGTTAAAAGTCATCATCTCTTGGTTTGCATTTTTTTTTTTTAAGGGTAAAATCACAAAATCTCCATCTATTATTAAATTGGTGCAAAAAATTCGTGACCTGTTAATTAGATTATGAAATTATAATTTAATCTTATTATTTAATATTTAATATTAAATTTAAATTTAAATTTTTTTTTAAAAATGACACCCCTTCATTATTGACAACATGACGTCGTTTGTCACCAAATAGTTTCTTCTCTCTTGGATTTCCCGCACAACTTATATACATATATCCATATATATACACACATACTGAAACCCATTTTCCTTGCTCTTTTCTTCCAGATTTACAAATGCTAAGTTGCTAATCCCCGCAAAAGTATTTAGTATATTTTTATTTTTCCATTAAATTGCTTCTATTATATTTTTAGATTATTTGATTTTAGCTTATCGTTGTGTTGTCCGGTAAACAAAAAAATTCAAGAATCAACATTTTTGGTCAAGAAGGTTGGCTATGCACAAGGAATCACCATTTTCTGGTTGTGTAGATAAAACAATTTAATCCCATATTCAATCTCTCATTCGTTGATGCTCTGTTCTGGGTCTTCTTCCTCCACTACTTTATTGATGCCGGCAGCGGCCACCAAAACCCAAAATCAACCAATAGAGGTCGTCATCCTCCAATGATCATAGCAACAGAAATGGGTTCAAAACAAAATGATATCCCCATTTCGATTCGAGCAATTTGATCAAATTTGGGTTCAAATTCATGGTGGTCTGAATATATCCAATACTATTCCAAGTAGTTCTAAACTTCTCTACTCTTTCTCTCTTTCTCTTTGTCACTTCCTCTAGATTTTCCTACCGATCGATTCTCTTTCCACTTTGTTCCTATCACTGTGTACATATTCGATTCAAGATTTATCTCTGTTGATCTCTCTCTCTTATATGCAAATGTATTTATTGTCTTCGATAATAGTTCACTTTCCCTCTTTATATGATCGATTCTCTCTTTCTAGGGAAGGATTTTCTCTCTCTAGATTCAGAACCCTTGGAGTTGGTGAATCTGAGAATGAGGATTGAGAAGGAAAGAGAAAGTAGAGAGAGGAGTTGAAAAGGACAATACTTGCATCCAACCTAGGTTGGATGAAGTTTGTCCAACCTGGATACGTGGCCCAATCATATGGAGACACGTGTCCACAATTAGTATTAAATTAAATTGGGCATTGCCCATTAATTTTTGGGTATAACCCGTCTTTTTACTTTTTTTTTTTTTTTTCTTTTTTTTTTTTTCCTTCTCATCTGATCTGCGCCTTCTTCTTTCTCCTCTGATCTACAGCCTTTCCCCCTCTCTTTCTCTCTCTGATCTGCAACCCCTTTCCTACCGCCTACTTAACTCGTCTCCATCACCAACTACACACTCTCTCTCCTCCGCTCCCCAAACGCTCCACCACTGCAAACCGAGAAGAGTGCTTCGACACATCCCAAACTTCTTAACCCTAACCCTAAACCCCTCTCCATCACTTTCCATAACCTCCATCTCATTCCCATTCCCCCAATTCTCCACCACATCCGGATCAAATTCGCCTATCTCGAACTGATCCGACATCGTCCCATTCTCATCCACAACCCCAAATCTTTGCACCGACGGTGGTGGCGGTCGCAACAAGGGAGGCGGAGGCGGTGGAGATTGAGGAAGTTGTTGTCGATCCAAAACAGGGGAAACCGGAGCTAGGGTTTTGTCCTTCACGATTTCAATTTGATTAGCGTTTATCGAGTTAATATATCGAAGGTTTTGTTGTGATTGGGAGAGAAAGAGACTAAAGGGCTTTTGAAAGAGTCGAGATGGGTTTGGCTGAAGTTGAAGAAGATGAGCTGTTGATAGCCACCAGATCAGTGCAGATTTTTGGAGTGATGAGAGAGAAAAAAATGGGTTATACCCAAAAATTGATGGGCAATGCCCAATTTAATCGTGGACACGTGTCGCCATATAATTGGGTCACGTACCCAGGTTGGACAAACTTCATCCAACCTGGGTTGGATGCAAGTATTGTCTGGTTGTAAATGTTTCTGGTGAGAGTTGATGGTATTGAGGAAGAAGACTCAAGGGTATTTTTGTAATTTTATAACAATTATTAGTTTTTAATTTAACATTAAATCATAAGGATACTTTTGTCATTTCACAGGAACATGGGGCCAACTTGATAACATTTTTTTAGTGGGTTTTTTTTTTTTTTTTTAACCCTTTTTTTTAAAAATGATATGATGTTTGGTTTATTAGCCTTTTAAACCTTGTTCTTAGTGGTGTGCATGTTTTCTTTAAATTTCCAATTTCGGTTATTAATTTTATTTATCAAAAAATTGATTATTGATTTAAGATGGGTTATGATTTTATGTTCTAAAGATACAATTATATTTTTATCCCCCATTTGGATAAAGAAAAAAAATTCCTGGAATGGGGATGTATGAAATCTCAATCATAAGCTGATGCTTGGAAATGATAGTGAAAAGTGAAGACGAGATAACAAAGCAGAGAACACTAGGTAGCAAAAAAACAGAATCATCACCACTATCATTACCAAACCAACCGGTTATGCCTAATATATTAAGTGTAAAATTAGGAAGGATGTATGATTCCATTCGAATGGTATCAATCCAATATATTTTGCCACTATCATTTTACTTCAATTATAAACTTGAATTATCACCACTATCATTGTTAACGTGTGCAATGGTCCCATGTGATGTAGGACACACTTCTTATATTTTACTTTTGGAGCAGTAACTTGTATGGGAAAGGAAGATAAAAAAAACATAGCAAAAAAATGAAAACAAAACTTACCCTTTGTGAAGGACCACTAAGAGTCTCTGAACCTTAAATTGATGTATCAAACAGCTTCTCTTTTGGGTGGATATAGAAGCATGTGGAAACAAACAGAATCAAAATTGAAGCAGCACAAGGAGAGATGTGATTAAAGAAAACAGCCCTGATTTTTTTGAAATCTTCATAAAAAACTTGATGAATGCTTATATTAGTTTAGCCTAAAAGGTGTTAGAAACTTTTTTCTTTAATATTTTTATTATTTTTTGGTGGTAAAATTAGAGAAAAATAAAATTAATGACAATTTAAACTTACTACTGACCACTTCAATATTGTCGTACGCGATATGTATGGTAAAAAAAAAAAAAAAAATTATGAGCATATTTCCCTTCTGCCATTTTCTCATCCAAAAAGAAGTCTTATGTTTTACAATATGCTAATGTACTGAATGACCCTTCTTTTTTCGGAGAAGAAGCAATGAAGGTATCTGGGGAATAAGCATCAACTAACTCTCTGCTAGCAGCCACGGTAATACAGAGGATGCAAGCATTATCTGGAATAATTGAGCATAAAGCATCTGTAGGTGACTTTTGGATCATTCAATGTTTTTGCATTTACTACCAAAGATTTTATTTATTTATTTTATTATTTTTTTTGGTAAGAAAAAAAAATGATCTTTTTGGTTAGGTATTTGATCAATATCTAGGTCTTCATTTTAGCTAATTTTCAGTGCAGCATATATGTTTTCCAGTTAAATGTTTGAAGGCACTTGTAAACAATTTATGGTAGTTGATAGTTGGTATGATATTCCCAGAACTTTATATTATTGAATTACTCAGTTTTGCAGTCAAATTGAATGCAAATGGAATGGTGGTTGGAAGTCTTCGTGGTTAGTTTTGATCAGTTTATGAATCTGGTGGTAGACAATACTATGGAAGTTAGTGGCAATGAGAAAAATGGTGGTGAGTCTATGCTCTTCAACCATTTTGTTGTCTTCTTTCTAGTTAGTTTTTCATTTAATAATTAGCAAGCTTATGGCAATTGATACAACTACTTCTTCCTGCAGGTTATAAGAGGAAATAGTGTGGAAGCACTTGAACCAGTTAGCAGAACACAGTGATTGTGAATATGTATTGGCATGGATTAGTTGTATGAAAAAGGGGAATATGTTTTTCGTGGAGTGACTAGTCTTGATTGGATGTTTTGTATTTGAAGTCATTTCTATGTCTGAATATATGGATAATGCTATCTATCTAATGAGATGTACTGGTATCAACTACACGAGCTCAAGTTTTGCTTATGAGCCCTCTAACGAAGAAATCCGTGTTATTGTATTTTATTAAACGTTCTTTCGCATTCAATGGCAAATGAATCCAGGTTGAACTCTATTATCTCTAATCTGTTGAGTTAGTGGATTTAGAATTAAACATGCCATTAATTGACCAAATTTTGATTATTTTAGCATTCTGAATTCCTCGTTCTCGCCCAAAATTTGTGACACAGATTTTGTCGCTAAACTTAGTCAAATTTGTCAATAGCAGTCTGAGAATTTCATATCTGTTTCGTCCTGAAAAACTTATAGCAATGAAAATGAAGCTATTTTTCTTCACTTTCCTGTTGTAGTGATTAAAGGATTCATTGCTTTTGCATATAATGGAGCCATAGACTTGCACTTGACTATTAATCACAGGGAAAAAGTAGCTTGAAGGCTGACAGACAAGTTGAGTCCAGGCTTGAAGTCCCACTGAATATGTGAGTCTCTCACAATTTGCAGATATGCTTTTGATAAAATTGAAAAGGCAATTGCAAATGTAATATTTTTTTTTGGAAATTAAAGCAATTTCTATTTGCATCAAGCACATCTATGATTTTAAGAGAATAACTATAAAAAGGAGTTGGTCTGAAGAAGTATGAGATTACTTTGGTTACATAATGTACATTTTAGTAGCAATAGGAATTAAGGCATTATCCAAGTGATGATTTACTCCTCAAAATAAAAAATAATGATGAGGCCGGTGGTATTTACTAATTGGTGCTTCTGTTGTCATACTAGATGCTACTGCAATTAATAGATACAAACAATATGCATACATGTATATACATACATGCATCAGCACCACCTTGCCTTAGTTTGGATTATACATAATACATAGGAGCTATATATATACATCGAACGTTGAATAAAGGGATTGAACTAAAATAAATGGCAAATTTATTATTTCATATTGTGGGGATTTGACATGCAGCCCTTAAATTGCAATTTATTTAAGAATATTATTTTTTTTTCGTTTTTTGTAGTTGAAGGATATTTTACTATGTCAAGGGATTGTGACTTTTTTCTTTTCTTGTCTATTTAATCAAAGTTAGAGTTTTTTTAATAACTTTATGGAAAGATGTATTTATATAACTTGGGACTTTTTAAATAAGGCTAGTAAACTTTTTGGAATGCCTACGCTCCCAGAAACCATGTACTTGAGACTTGGTCCAAAACAAGAAAAAGGAGGTAAAATTGAGGAAGAGTGACACACCCATTAAGCTATTACCGGAAACTTTTTAATCCTTAACCTTTCACAGGAATGTAAAATTTTTGTTGGTAAAATAATTTAGGTTTCAAAGGGGATTTTTTTTTTTTTTTTGGACAAATTTTGCTTTTATTGTGTAAAATCCGCTTAGTATAAAATAATATTCTCGGAAGAAAATATCCGCCATATCTATATCCATCGATATGTTGGTGTTTTCAAGAACATTGTGGTACCTTTCTCTTGTAGTCTATAGTCCCAGTATTATAGTAGTCTCTCTCTTATTATTGGAAGTTACTCTGCTTTCTGTTCTTGTGATGGAGCTATTGTTACTGTTAGTAAAGTTGTCCGCCATAAGTATTTGAATTTTAAACAGTAACGGTTATAACTTATATACCCTAAAAAGTTGTAAAGTTCGATTATGCTCTGTGTGTGTGTTTGTGTGTGTGTCTCTCTCTAAGTACCTAAATTATGTTGGACCCTACAACCACTTTTCCTTTTCGTCTGTGTTTTGTCTCTCAATTGCTCCACACGCAACAAAACTGCATTGCCGAGGCAAGCTTACCAGTAGAAAATGGGAAAATTGTGATAAAAGAAAGAAAAAGGTGAAAAACAAACTAAAAAACAAAATTATTGAATAGTGGGGTATGCGGACATTTCAAAAAAAGTTGTTGTCTCGTGTTCTTCTAATCAACCCAAGCGAAGTGTTACATCACAACGTCAAGCCCTAGTCCCAGCACATTTACAATTTTGTTGTATTGTGAATGTTCCATGAAACTGGACTCCTCCTTGTTGCAGTAAATGACATTACAAATATCTCCCTCTCATCAAAATTAATATGTATAGCATAATAATGTCCAAAAAATGGTGAAAATATCTACATTACACACACACACACACACACACATATTTATTTACACATTTGCTCTTCGATCAGTTCTCTTCCTTTAATAGGGTGCTTCACCAACAATAAACCAAGAATAATTTGCTTTACAGTGAGAGTAGCCGTTAAGGAGAGTGTATATATTCTCTCATGAGAATACAAATTGCCAAAGTTTCCTACCAAATACATATTGTCAAGTGAAAAGTGGCACATGTATTCTATAGTCATATAATCAATTCCTCTGCTCCTTCTTATACTTCTCACTCTTGGTGGTCATCAATGATCTGCCACACTGTCACCTGCCTACATCTTATAATAATATCACTTGTGAGACTTTTAACCTTTTATAAAATAGTCCATTTTTAAATTACTAGCAAATTATATTGATATCACTTTAGATTTGAACAAATTACACAAGATGCAGTGTTTATTATATTACTTCCCGTTAGATTTGATGCGTGTGCTCAGTGACACCCCTAACATTTTTATTTTGGTAAAGTTGTTAACCAAATTTTATAAGTTGACAATTTTATCCTTCCATTGTATAAACTGTAATAGTATATTATAATAATAATATAAGTACATTACTGACTTTTCACATTTTATATCACTTTCCGACATTAAAGAACGAGTTTAGAGAATGTTAAAATAATAAATGTTGAACAGTATATACGTGTGTCATTTGTCCAAACCTAAAGAGCGGTCAAGTCTAATTTATTCTTAGATTTTTTTTTTTTTTTTTTCTCGGTAATTAAGTGGTAATTTACCCTTAGATTGATGCTGCTGAAAGTAGTTTAATTCTGTGCTTCTGAGATGCAATCACTTAAAGGTTATGATGCATTTGGGAACCAGCATATATAATGGGATTTGTTGTTGGGGTTGAAATTTTTGCACACGACAGAATGGAGGAAGCTAACCGACATTGATGGTATTGTCGATGGCAACATCCCAAAAATATTAATTAGGGCTATATATTACCTTATATTCAGTTAGATTTTCCATTGTGGCTACAACACTTGTTTGTCCACCAAATGCACCAGAATCCAAAGCTAGAATGGTGGTTTCTTCTACCAAAAAATTTGGTCTGTTAGCCATAACTATCATTCGTGAAACTACTTAGCTAATCAACATATAATACAGGACAAACCTCCACAATCAAACCTAGGAGTAGACCTAGGTCCACTTTAATGTTAAAGGAATTTAGGGCAAGTACTTGGCACAACTATTACACAAATGAAAAGGTCACAAGTGTCTTCACCTGAAACTATCTATCAAATCCTACTCAACAAAACTAGTAAAAGTAAAAACATTTTGAAGTGCAGTAATATAATTGTACATACAGAGTAAAATCTATAGTTTATTTGCAATTCAAAATTTCAAATACCTAATTAATTGCTCCAACAAATTAAGTACACAAAAAAAAAATAAAAATAAAAATTATTAAGAGTCAAACATGGAACATTTGAATTTTTTTGTTGACCTTCTTAGTAGGTCTTTTTGGATAACTAGTCCCTATTCTTATGTGATACTTCAAAATATATATATATATATATACACACTCCTATATTTGACACATTATATTAACTTTGATGGACTTTCAATTTTTGTTAATTAGAGTCATATTACGATGTTTGAATTGAATTTTTTATTATTCCAATAAATAGTGTTCAAATAAAGACTCATTGTAGCATTAAATAAGTTTAGAGTCTATTTTACATCATTGTAGCATTAAGTTATAATTAATTTAGACTTTATGATTTTTTATATTTAGTTTAGATTTTATTATTTGTTGTGTGTGTGATGTGATATGCCCGTTGGTCAATTATAGGTGCTCGGTCTTCATGGATTAAAATAAATAAATAAGTAGTTATTTAGTGACAGATATACAAATATCAATACAGAGGAGAGGAGCCAAGCCTTTTAAGTCACTTGTAAGAAAGGAATTGTATTTGATTCCAGCAGAAGCGGAAAAAGCACACCATATATTCTCTCTGTGGAATTTAGTATTTAGTATTTAGTAAATTACCCACTTCTTCACTCTCTTAAACTATACAATAATAATACATTTCTTGCTAAACCTCCAAAGTAAAGCAGCCAGCAAGACCAGATATAAAAAGCACAAGAAAGAGAGAACTGAAATGAATAATGATGTTCACATCTCACCATCCAAAACCATTCCTTCAATCCAACTCTACTCAAAAGTCTGAAACATTCATGCCCAATCTTCCTATTCTCTCTTTCCATCTATAGTCTTACTAATCTACCAACCCATCAAAAAACAGGGAAAACCCACCAAACTCCTCAATCTTTTCCCTCCCAAAAACCCAAAATATATATCATTCATTTACTATATCACAAATTTACAAGAAATGACAGAGATACTACAATCCCCATCTCATTTGCCTTCATCTTCAAGCTCCATACCATGTGTTGTATCACCTACGCTCAATGATGGGTCACACCAACAGGCCCATCTCAACCATGAACCCCTTTTTAACAATCCCACTTCGTATTGTGTAGCCGTATGCAGGGGAGATACAGAGGAAGAGGAAGAGAGAGAAGGAGTTAGAGAGAGAAAGGAAGCAGAGGAGGGAGATCAGCTGTCTCTGTTGGCCCTTTTGGTGACGGTGTTTAGGAAGTCCCTGATTGCTTCTTGTAGCAGTGAGAGGGTGGAAGAGCTATCTTCTTCAATGGAGATTGGGTGCCCTACAAATGTCAGACATGTTGCACATGTCACCTTTGATCGCTTCAATGGCTTTCTTGGTCTTCCTGTTGAGTTTGAACCTGAAGTTCCTAGGAGGCCTCCCAGTGCCAGGTCTGTTCTCTTGTCGATTTTTTTCTGAGTTTTAGATTATGGGTGTGCCTGTATTTGCATTGTGTTTATGTTTGTATATCTTGAGGTTCCGGTTTTTGGTTTAAGATAATTGTTTTCTTTTCTTTTTGGGCATCTAGTGGTTATCTTTATGAAAAAAATTCTGTGACAGTCATTTATTTGCTGTTAAGAAGTACTCTAATTTATTCATTTGTCAGAAATTGATGACTGGATCCAGACATGATCTATCATCAGGACAATATTTGTTATTTATGTTTAAATTATTTAACAATTGGAGGTAGATTGTCACTAAGAAACAAGGGGAAAAAAAGAGTCACTAAGAAACAAAATTCAGGTACTTAACCCTTGATTAGTCCTATACATTGATGAGATGGTTGGAGTAGCACTAATTAGAGATAAAATGAGAGAAAATTGGTTCAGATGTTTGGACATGTGCACAGAAGACCTTTAAGTGTGCCAATTAGGAAGAGTGACACAGTCAAATTGAGGGTAATACTTGGGAGAGGGGAAGATCAAAGTTAATATGGGTATAGTTAGTAAGAAATAATATGATAACATGTGGTTTGATTGAGGCCATGACCGTGGATTAAGCGAAACAAAAATCAGGATTCATGTAGCCAACCCCAAGTGGTTGGAAAAAAGACTTTGTTTGTTGTTGTTTTAAAGCTTGGGTACATTCACCATGTGAACAAATTGCAGGATTTGGTTTGCAGGTATATTCATTCATTGTCTTGGCAATGAAAAGCAAAGTTTTTTATTTATTATTATTATTTTATTTATTTATTTATTTATTATTATTATTTTTATCTTGGCAAGAACTCACATACCCACTTTGTCCCTATGGGAGACACGAAGGTGAGGAAGTACACTAGGCTACAATCCTCGTGCGCATACCATATCCTGATTACCATTCAGCTCACACCAAGTCTCCTTGACAGCCCTAGGAAGTGCCATAACCTGATTTAAATTACATTGAATTTCAGCTCCTTTATTAGATTACTCATAGGTTTTATATAAGCAAGTAATATAATTGGAAGTCACTCCTGACATGAGTTGTTATATCAGATCTTTCACATTAGATCTTTCACAATGTGAAATCCACTATCCATAATTGAGTAGAATAACATCTCCAATTCCTAATATCAGGAGAAGTTGCATCAAAACAGATATAATGTGGTTTTTTCATGGCGCTTCATTCTATACCTTATGCCTGGTTGGGGGGCTTTTACCTTTTTCTTTTTGTCCTTTGTTTTCTTTTCTTTTATTATTTTATTGTTTTGCTGGTGGTTTTGTTGTACGTGGGTGGGGCTTGGTAGTTGGTATGGACCTGTAACAGATATCTTGGTTATGGCATAAAAAGGTGATCAACTCTTCATTCCAACTCAATTAAAGATAGGAAAACAAGGATAAAATAAATGACATGAACCTCTGCTCTTTTGTTTTTGTAATAGTGTTACCTAAAAGCACGCACCTCTTCCACTCAATTACAGACACTTCTCTTGATTATTTTTTTCCTTTTCCCGGTAAATCAAACCCTATGTGCATCACATATGCTATCATATTGTGAACTTTGAATTACTTATGTTTGTACCAGTTTACAAGAGCCCAGAAAAGATTCTGACATTCTTTTTTGCATTCTTCACTGTTCGTAACCATTCTATTCTGTTTTTGAACTTGGTATTTCTTTCTGACATATTGATGACCTTGGCTTAGTTAATATTACACCATTGACTTTTTTTATTATTCTTCTATAGTGCAAGTGTTTTTGGAGTGTCAACGGAGTCTATGCAGCTTTCATTTGATTCCAGAGGGAATAGTGTACCTACAATACTTCTGATGATGCAAAGACGCTTGTATGCACAAGGGGGCCTGCAGGCATGTGTCCTCAGATTCTATTCTCCTTTTTGTTTCTGTATTTGATTATAAGTGATTCAACAATCAGTTACTTTGAATGCATTGTCTACTGATATTTCTGTATTTCTTGATTGTGCAATTTCAACAATTATGTGTTGAACTTCAATATGCAGGCGGAAGGAATCTTCAGAATTAATGCTGAGAATGGCCAAGAAGAGTATGTTAGGGAACAACTAAATAGGGGAATTGTGCCACATGACATTGATGTGCATTGTTTAGCAGGTCTTATAAAGGTGCTGTTTTTCAACTTAATCGTAATTATTCTTTTGCTCATTCATTTTGTTATAAAATTCTCTTATTGGAAATAGGAAGTTGGCTGCCTGATGTATGCATTAGGTTAAGAATTTTAACCCAAAAAAAATAATTACTAAAGGTTTCAAACCTTGATCGCGCAAGCAGAAAGTTTGACCTTAGGGAGTCCATTGGTTTCCTCACCCCATTGGACATCCAGTTTGCAAATGATACACAAAACTGAATATTTGGCCAATGATAAGATTCTGTTCAAAAAATTATCTTACTAAATTCACTAAAAATACCTCGAATAAAATATGGCTCTGTTTGCACGTGAAATATTTGTCAGTATTTAAGGTGTGACCAGAGCTGCTCATATAATGAGGGGCTATAATATGGGAAATCCTGACTTATTTACATTCTATTCTACTGTATTATACTGATCAATACTCATGGATGAATTCTTAAAAAACAATAGTAATAATAGTATTCAGAATTTAACTTGGATGCAAGCACAATATCTTGATTACATTAGGCATGTGCATTTTCGAAAAAGTTGGATTTCAAATGGTTAGAATTAGTGACATGAGAATTTCTGATTCGAGGTGAATTGACATGAGTTCCTTGTTTGTACTTGTTTCATTGATGCACTGCATTGAAATGGAAAAATTATTGGATTTGACTCCTGTAGTTATACTTGTCGATAACATTCATTCTGCCAAAATGTGAAGAGTTTCCTTTCCCATCATGCTGGTGATTTTAATGTTGCATTGACTTGAAGTTGGTGTTTCTGTAGGCTTGGTTTAGAGAACTCCCGAATGGGGTGTTGGACTCTCTCTCACCGGAGCAGGTAATGCAAGCTCAATCAGAAGAGGAATGTACTCGACTTGTGAGGCTCCTTCCCCCAACAGTAGCTGCTCTGCTGGACTGGGCAATAAACCTAATGGCTGATGTTGCTCTACTGGAACATCTAAATAAAATGAATGCACGCAATATCGCTATGGTGTTTGCACCAAATATGACTCAGGTGCGCAGAAAAAATAGTACTCTTCTTGAGACCCATGCACAAGTCACACACTTTGCACCAAGCAAAAAAACATAAATAGAAAAAGGTCATTCAGGTATATATTACCAACTCCTCAACTCCCCCACCAAAAAAAAAAAAAAAAACCCTTTTTCTTGCATTTCACATAAGGTAGTTGTCTTACATTATATAAAGTCGTTTTCCACAAAGAATTGGTTATGGTTGTACTGTCAATTCAGTTTTAGGTGTGCTGACAGTCTTGATTAACTTGTGCTGATTGCAGATGGCGGATCCTTTGACAGCATTGATGCATGCAGTCCAGGTGATGAATTTTCTCAAGACTCTTATCGTCAGGACATTAAGAGAGAGAGAAGATTCTATTTTGGAATCGGCCACTGCATCCCACTTAGAGCCTTCTGATGAGAATGGACACCACAGCTATTCACAACCAATAATTGAGGAGGCCGATGAAATGAACCAGGAAGAGCAAGTTTTCGTACCCAAAGAACCCTTTTCGGAAAGCCCTGCTCATCCAAATCATAGTGACTCAGAAGCTGGATCTGATGCTCATGGTTTTTTGACTTCGATAGGGAATATCATTCCTGGAGGAAATGGACAATTGGCTGATAATTGCCCTGGTGAGCTTCCGAACCAAGTTGACTCCACAAGAAGGGGACTTGAAAAGGGTGGTTCTAGTCGTCCAAATGGAGGGACTCAATCAGACAATTGTAGGACCAAAACTGGCCAGTCAAGTAATTCTAATATCAAGAAGGGATCCAAAAGAGTGAATAATAATGACAGGACAGTGGTTCGGGCAACAGGTCCTGTAGACAAAATTCGGGGAACGAGCATTGTGAGCCGTTTAAATTCATGGTCAGAACGAGTTGAAGCTTGGCGATGAAGGGGACGGGATTCTGCATCTGAGAGACAGGTCCTGGTGGAACAAATTGGTGCATTGTGTTTTTTCATTTGGGAGTTTGTGTATGATTCATTTTCTGGTCTGTATTTATGTTTCTGAGTGGGGTTCTCTAACTTCTTCTTGTTGATCAACAATATTTCTCTTTGCTTTTAACACGTTTGTGCATGTCCATTTATGCAAATCATGGTTGGAAGTTGCCGTATTGACTCATTGATATTGGGTGTTACACAACAATGTGTTGTATATGAAGCTTGAATTATTATTACTCTATTTTTTTTTTTTATAAAAAAAAACATGAAAAATATATAAAACAATAACAACAACAAAATGGAATTATGAAATAAGCAAGATGCTGTAACAGATCCTTACCCAAAAATAAATAAAAATACTAGGCATAATGTCATAGGATTTACGGAAATGAAAGAAAGAGTGGAGATAACAGGAGCCGAAGATAAAATAATTAGCTTGTGTGTTTGGTTTACAGAGGTGGAAAGAAGAATAAGTAAAAGATAATGATTTGAAGTCAGATATTTAACTTTAGATTTATTCATGTGAGTGAAAATGATGTCATCATGACATAAAAAATATTAATAAATTTGTGATAACATCATTTTGCTCACATATTGTTCCAGGAATTTTTTAACATAATTTTGTATTGGTTTTGAGATTAGTCCCTTATTAAAAATTTGCTAAAAATCAATCCTATTTTTATATATTTCTGATTTTCTGTTAGCCAACAACCTGTTAATTATAAACAATGTTAACGACTTAACCTAAAAGATTTTTTAAAAGAAAATTCCAAAACTAACCCTAATTTATTCCACCAAACTATCCAAGAGAGGATGATCGGAACCCTTCCCTCCTCCTCTTTCAGACGACACAATCTGCTTCGACACTCCGCAGGGCGCAGCCTCCGCTATCGCCTCAGGTGACAAGGTATGTTCATCCTCTCTCTCTCTCTTTCTCCTCTCCTTTTGCATGAATCGATCTTTTATATATATGTTTCTTTCTTTCGTTCATCTCATCATTTGATTTGTTCTAACTTTGGTTCGTTTGATTCGGGCCTTTACCTTTGTTCCAATAGTGAAAAGTAGCTTCCAAACTAGGGTTTTGTGTGTGTGTGTGTCACTGTGTGTGATGGCTATCAAAAGCTGAATGAATTTTTTATGGTTCTCTTAGTATTTTAATAAATGTGTGCCTTTCTACATGTGTCTTTCATGGCGATCGAGTCCATAATCTATGGCAGGTACTTCTTTTTTTTCCTCTCCCTAATTCCACCCCAATCTCACAACAGCAGCAACCATACCCCTTTTCCTCGTAATTTTTTTCATTTTCACATTCAATCCTACCACTTTTTCGATTTCTAAGTTATGCTCATACTTAAAAGTGCCAAATTAATTGTTTTTTTATATTTTATCTTTATATGAAGATACATACCACCAATCCACCATTATTGATGTTATTTGAAGTTGGCTCAGCTAGAATTTCAGTTAATAATACTGTCAAAGCACTATCAAGAGCAGGCTTTAACAAAACAAAAGTTAATGGTTTTTCTATTAATTTGCACAGGTCTTCTGTAGCAATGATCAATCAATCACTGCTACTGAAGTTGATTCCTCATCCTGAAATCAAGGAAGGGTAATTGGCTCCCAAAAAAAATACACACAAAGTGTAGTGCAGTTAATATAAAGGGCGAAAGACAAAACTATATATGATAGTGAAGGCCACATATAACCTAAAAGTCCCACTACTTCTTAAGTACTACAAGTTCAGCCTCCTATAATATATATAGTCACCTCATCTCCACATATTTTTATCATCTGTAATCATCAAATTTTAGTAGCTATATAAACAATGAATGTAAAAGAAGCTGCAGTTTTCTGTTCTCTAGTAAACTGTTCTCTTCATTTTTTATTTTGTGCCTGTGAAAATTTCGTACTCTTTAATTGATAGATTTATTGTTATTAGTTAACCGTCTTATGCATACTGCACATGCGCACAATTATTTATTGGTGAGGATAGATTTATTGTTATTAGTTAATTGTCTTATGCAAACTGCGCAGACGCACAATTATTTATTGGTGGTGATAAAAATTTATAGTTATTAGTTAGTTGTCTTAAGCACACTGCACAGGCGAACAATTATTTATTGGTGGTGATAGATTTATAGTTATTAGTTAGTTGTCTTATGCACATTGTACCGGCGCACAATTATTTGTTAGTGGTGATAAATTTATAGTTATTAGTTAGTTGTCTTATGCACAATGCACAGGCGCACAATTATATTAGCTATAGAATTTGAAAACATTGTGTGAAAATTTTGCACTCTTATATTTTTTTTTTGCGCGTGTGAAACTTAAGGGCCTCACATTTGAAAGTTCGCCTGGGGCCTCTCAAAATATTTGGAATCTCAGGGCCGGCCCTGCCTCCACCCCTAGCCCCCATTGCTTAATTATATATTTGGTAATTGTTTTTTCCAATTAATTCTATGACTTTATGGAAGACAATTTTTTTTTTTTGGCTAGCAAGAGATGTTGCAAACACCACAGAATCCTCTAAACCAAAGAATAATCATATGATCTCCGTATCAATCTCTAACCGACTATTCACCATCATAAATAACAGTGCTAATTTCTTTCCTTTTTTTTCTTTTCTTCTTTTTTTTTTTTTTTTTTTTTTTTTTTTCCCCCTTTTTCGGGTATATGATACATGTACCTAAATCAAGGATTGAGAAAGAGAAACATAGACACTGTCAATGTGTTGTTGAATAGGATTGTGTGTGGAACAAAGGTGTCAATTTTAAAAAAAAAAAATTGAGAAAAGCTACTCCATTGATTCATTGAAATCTAAGAACAATATTCACAAAATTAACTTTACATGCGAAACTGGAAGAGCAAGAGTTCTCCTTGTTTTTCTCATAACTCAATCAGGAGCGGTGGTAATTGGTTAAGAAAAAAGAGATCATATCTTACTGAATTAGCAGCGGGTAATTTTAGCGAAGGGTAGTTTTGGAATTTTATAAAATAATACTCTTAAGTTCTGTTTGTTGACTAGCATAAAGATTTAAAAATATGACCAATTTCTGATTTTTTAATAAATGGACGAATGTCAAAATTCTAACAAAATTATGGGACTCAAGTAAAACAGACCTTGTTAAAAAAAAAAGATTTCTTCTTTGAAAAGTGAATTTGCTATATTTCTAAAAATAAGAGTAAACTGAAGAAATTTAAGAAGATAGTGATTAGTCTTCTCTTTTTTTTTTTTATTATTATTATTTATTTATAACAATCCAATTATTGTCATCAATTACTTTCTCTTTACAATTTTTTCGCATTTCTTTCCTTTCCCTCTCATAACTAATTTATAAACATCCTGAATACAAATGATTCCTCATTGAAAACAACCCTTTTGAAACCAAAAACAAAACCGAATAATTAAACGAATAAAATAACACCGGTATTGGTCTTTCACTTTTTCTTTTTTTTCCTTTTTTTTTATATAAATTATACTAACCTCTCATAAGGCTTAAGTAAATTACACACAAGTAAACCAAAATTTATAAAATGACAATTTTGTTTTCTAATATGATATATTATTATAATATAAATATGTTATTCTCAGCCTAAAAAGGTTTAGGGGAGGTGAAAATAATAAATGTTCGAACAATGTAATTTATTGAGGTCGTTTTAATTAATTTTATTTATATATATATTTTTCATCTCGAGTCTCCATTCTGTTAAATTGTTATTATGCTCAGAGGCTACGTCGTTTCAAGAAGGTTTATCTGCTAGCATACAACTACTCAGAAAGGAAACTAGAGATGTTGAATTTATTCTCTTCCGGCCTTCGTCCCTAATTCGTCTGATAGCGTCGGAACTTCCAATGCTCTTTCCCCAACCAGGTAAAATCTCTCTCTATTTGTGTGTGTGTGTGTGTGTATATATATGTACATCGATCTTGAATTTTGGAGATAGGCCCCAGTGACTCAAAACCCTAGCATTTTGACTCATGGTAGAATCAGTGATGAACATGTGGAGGCCTTAAAAGAACCAACACCGAGACCTTTTTTTGTCTTGATGACTGATGAGAATGGAATTATAGACAAAATCAGGATAGAATTTGGTCTGGTTAGTGTAAGGGGAGATAGGTCTGGAATAAAGCCTGACTGATTATAGTTGCAAGATAGTTTCAAAAGTGTTTGACATGTAAAGAGTGCAGAAGAAATGAGAAGCGTGGATGAACTTGGGAATGATGGTTTTCGAATTTACATGGAAATTATGTTGTGATGACAAGTATCTGAGCAATGCCATTATGAAAAATACCTGGAATAAAGAAAAATGGGCAGTTTGACTGCCCAAGAACCACAGATAAACTCCCTTTGAATCAAGTAAAAAGCAATGTATCTCATATTAGACATATTGGCTTCAAACCCATAAACATAAGTTCCTTAATTGCAGTTCCAGGCATTTTTACTTCCCTTGTGTTTCATTTCCATTTCCAGCTATGTAATCTTTTATTTAAAATTCTAGTTCAGTTATAGTATTTTAGTTTGTTCAATTAGTTTTTGCACTAAACAAAGATTAGTTTACTGCAATGAAGTTGAGAATTGAGAATGTGTGCAATATAATGCTCTTCAGTTGGGTACAGTTTGTTTATTGATCTCTTGTTAGTTTTATTTCCATTTGCAATTGATTAAGCTATTTTCCAAGAGAGGTCATTTTGCAATTTTGACTTGAGGGGAAGGGTCATCCCTACATTCCATTGCATTTTATGTAGTGTTACCTCAATTAGAAATGTTTGTAAGGGATTAACTGATTGAATTAGTGCAGCAGCAATATGGTTTAGCCTTAAGAAGGTAGGTACGCCTACTTTTTTGCATAGGAAACTTTTCTTCTTTTTTTGGATAGGTAAATATTTTCTCTCTTATGCTCTCACTGGGGCATGAACTCTCAACCTCCCCTTTGGAGAGTTGGAGGACACACCACTCAAGTCAAGGCTTTGGTGGTTTGTGCACGAAATCTTACCTAGAATGGATCAACTTAATTAAGTTTCTAGGGGATTCTTAGTCAATTTATGCAAAAATCAAAAGGTAGCCATGAGATGCCACAGTGGAAGGTTCTCAGCAATGCTTGCCTATTTATATGTATGTATTAATGTACATAAGTATGTGTTTCTTGTATATATGCTTCCATTTAGTTTGTTTTTGGTGCCTGCTGTAATTCAGCCTGTGTAGACTCCAGACCACATTCCAGATGCTAGTCAACGGTCAGTTTGAATGGACCATGACATAATTTCCTTTTTGTATTACAGGTTGTTACTTTTAAGTTGGTTGTTTATTGGTGCCTTGGTAATCCTGATGTGAGGGAATTCATAAGAAGATAATTCGTGTATTGGAGTATGCATGTTCTCATCTCTGTGCAGAGCAACTTTTACAATGAAGACACATTGCTTTGGAAGGAACTTCTGCGTTTCTTCGTTCCCTTTGGTCCGTGTACCACTCCCTTCTCGAATGTATGATTCGACCTATATAATATTTCTTAATTTATTTTGTGTCATTTCAGGTGCTTACTTTTTGAAACTTAGTAACTGCTTCTGTGTTAGAAATTCTATTTAATTATGGTTATCAAGGACTGCTTGAATTTTAATTTATTTGATAAGCACTGTCAAGGTATATTCTATGTATGTTTGACTTATTATCGATTTTAAGTACTTTCTCCTAGGATTTATATTGACTATATATTTTTTGATTATCAGGGAGACCCATTTGTGGTATATTCTACCTGATGAAGTGAGCAGTGCATCTATCTTAAATCAATATCAAGATCTTCTATCACCTTTTGAGAAGGAAAATGTTTTACGTATGCGCGGAGACGAGATGAAAAAAAGAGCCCTCTTAGCCCGTGCTTTGGTTCGCACTACCATAGCAAGATGTAGGATACTTTAATTTTCATACTATCATCTGATTTTATTATATTCCTTTTGTTTTTATTCTCTTGTACAAGATGAGTAAAAAGCCAACTGGGCAACTGATACAGGTAAACTACATGTTTTTGGCTGTTTACTTCAAATTATGTATTGTAGTTTCTTGACTTACTTGGTACTTCTCAATAAGATAATGGCTCCGGCCAAAGTGTGGAATTGTGTATTTTTTCACTCCAATTACTCAGGACTGTAATGTTTATCATGGATGCTTATTTGTATTATGCTGAAACTTCACAAGCTCAAATATTCTTGGAAACTAACTGTATTGCAAGTTAAGTACAGAAATAATTGCAATATTTCAGTATACACATGTGATGACCTGGTAATCGTTCAGAACAATTGAAACTGACAGCTTATTTTTGAACCAAAATAGCTTAAAAAATAGTATGTTGTAGAGGTTGTTCTGTCTGAACAGAAATGTTGATTTGAAGAATTTGTTCCCTTCCAGAGCTTGGTAAAATGCTCGGCAATAATTAGATGATAGATATACAATATAAAAGGGGAATTAATTGCTGTGCCTAAGGTGACAGTGAAATGTATGACCTAATTTTTTCTTTAACACATTAAATGTATTTCCTTCTATTTATAAATATATTTATCAGCGGATATTGTTTTTTTCCTACTTGTACGAAGAGGTTATGGGATTACTTAAACTATATTGTTTATTGTTAGATCAGATTAATCCTCAAGTAAGTGCAAGATCCTTGAAGTTTAGGAAGAACATCCATGGGAAGCCTGAGGTGAGCTTGCTTTTCTCACTGGATGGCTGGTTCTGGCGCCATCTGTTTGCTCTTGGATCTTGTCTTCCTTTTGTTCATTTTTTAAGCTTACCATGTGATCTTGTATTCCTTTATCTTTGTTTGTGGAATGTGTTAATAGGTGGAGTGGCAACTTGATGCTGATTGGAGCTCACCACCTATGCATTTCAACATCTCACACACTTCTTCTTTGATAGCCTGTGGAATTACCGTCGATTCATCAGTTAGTACCTGAGATCCTTCTCATTGGCTACATACATCCTCAGTTGACGTGATATAATTAGATTAGCTTGCTTTATTATTATTTTTTTTTATAATTTTGCTGCTATAATTTTTGAACATCGACTTTAAGCTAATGCAATTCACTTTGTATAATTATTTTAGATTGGTATCGATGTGGAAGAAAAACAGCGTACAGTGAAGAACAATATCTTGTCTTTTGCTCGACGGTATTTCTCTCACCAGGAAGTGGAACACTTAACTTCAATTTCAGACCCTGAAGTTCAGCGCCAGGAGTTCATAAAATTATGGACGCTGAAGGTTGACTAGGATATCACTAATTGAAACATTTATGCATCGATATTTTGATGTTAGTTAAAAATTATTTATTATGATACATTCTAATTTCATTAAAAATACATGCAATCTTCTAGATGATGTAGCATTTTGTTGATATCAGTATCCTCAGAAACCTACATGCCTAATTTATCCAGGGAACAACTTTGACTAGAAAGTAGAACGATTTAATCTTAAGCAGTAAGATATGACTATGAAATTGGGTAGTTGTACTTGAATTTTCAGTGGAGGTTTCTTTTGAGAGAAGTTAGGAAAGACAAATTTTGACCAGCTTGATTAAGGACCATGAGTCATCATTCCATTTGGTTGAAGGCTTAATTTCTTTCAATCTGGCATGCCTTAGAATAAGCCTTTTTTTCCTTCTTGATATTCTTTTTCTTGACAATCTAAGTCTAGAAGATAATGTCTCATGGTGGTCTAAAATTAGGTTTTTATTGTTTATATTTTTATTTACCTTTCCAACCTGAATGCAAAAGAGTGTCTCACTAAACGGGGGAGTTCAATAAAAAATTTGTTGCTCTATTTTTGCTTTTTGAAAAAAATCAACTCAAATTCATCTTCTGTAGTGAGACCGTTACAAGCAATGGCTTCGTAATAAGAAATTATAGAAATTACTTAAACACCTTCATGTCTCAAAGGTGGAAATAGTAAAACCAATTATTTACCATCATTTGTGATGATGGATCTTATTTGATTTGGCCCATGAATGATGATGGATTTGTGCCTTCAAGTGCTATCTTAAGTATGATGGAGCTATTCTGTATTTAATGGGACATCTAACTTCAATTCAGTTATTGTTATATTATTCCTTTGTGAATAAAAAAAAACTTTTATGCAGGTCAGGCAAAAATGCATGAAATTTCTTATCAACTTTGTCATTTTTATCAAAAGAAGTCTATCAATCTAAAATCTGTTTACTTAATTTTTTGGTTGGGGGTGGATGAATGGATGGATAATGGGATAATGTTTGCTTAATTTGGTCCACATGCAAATCATGTGAAGCAGTGGAGTTTTCATTCACATGATGGAAAATTTGTAACAGATCAAGAATAAACAAATAATAGCATTTAGTCCTGTTTTATTTAACAAAATTAGGTTTTCATATTTGTTTCACTTGAGCTTTGTTATATAAAGATGAATTACTTTCAGGAGGCCTATGTCAAAGCATTGGGAAGGGGCTTCTCGGCTGCACCTTTCAAGACCTTTTCCATCCAATCTAGGGCATCGATCTCTCCAATTTCAAACTCTGAGGTACATCACTCACCTGAATTGATGGAAATGAACTGTAAATATACTTGTGAATTGTTATACAAATAATGCAATGTGATCTAGGTCTAGAAATGTTGCATAATCTCATGTTGGGGGATCAAAGTGTCTGATTTTATGTATTGTAGCAGAGAGGGTGTTTTATTATTTTCTTTCTTCCACAATTCTGAGTAAAAAAATAGCTGTATGCTTAGCTCTAGATTTTCTCTCCTTTTCAAATTTCTAGAAGTGAGGTTTCTTTCTTGTGTATGCTTGGTTCTGCTGTCATTTTATTCTAGAACCCTGCCATTCCGCTACCTTCTGTTTGCTTAGTGGTTCATATTCTTTTAAATTTTATTTTATTCCTTTTATATAATTTAACAGTGATTTATGTTTTAATAAGTCATAATGAGAAATTTTACTCCCGCCCATGTAAAACGTCTATCAGGCATCTGAAATAGTTGTGGAGTCTCTTGATAGCTCCACAAACCTTACAAGCAATTGGCAGTTTGGGCTCTTGGAACTAGAAAGTTCGCATTTTGCTGCAATTTGCACAGAAAAGAATAATGCCTGTGAAGGTGGGACTCCATTTCTTTTTAGATTAAAATCTTCTGAAAACAAAAATGCTAACAGTTATTTTCTATTAATTGTAGGCAGCACGGGTAATATTCCGAGGAAATTGACAGTGTGGAAGACCATTCCATTTGTGGAGGATACTTGTGTTTCTGGCACTGATTTAGTTAAAATGATTGGTGGCTTGACTTAATTTGTTGTTATCATGTGAAATTATGTATCGGTGGTTATGGTATTATACTATGACGTTGGCTTAGGTTTTTATTTTATTTTTTTTACATCGGTTTTTAGAGTTGTAAACCAGAAATTTCAGACAGCGTGGGTTCTATGCACATTCATACTCTTATGATGATGATATGAGTGGCTTCCATTAAAGGTAATTGACCAACGAGCCAGTCGCCTAGCGGTATCGGTCTCTTACTTCCCAAAGGGAGGTCAGGAGTCTCAGAAGAGACGTGTGTTGAGTATCAACTAAAAAAAAAAAAAAAACATCAAAGGCAATTGAATTGTACTACGTAATATAAGGTGTATTTGTAATTTCTTATGGATCTTGTTGATGGAAGCATCAACTCTTGGGATTTTGAATTTTAATGCTTTATTTCTATTTACAAGTTTTAGTTTTACAATGGGTGTGTTAGAATGTTACTGCAATCATTTTATATGCAGAATATTATGAAGAGTAGGGGAAAGTTTAGCATCAGAACAGCTGTAAGGTTGAAAGTTTGGTGAAGAAAACATTTGCCGTATGAATTCAGTAAATGTCAGTTATGCCCTTTCTCAATAATCTTGCCATGTGATTCATGGTTTTATATCTTTCAGATGGAGAAAGTATTTGCCATTTGATTCACGGTTTTATATCTTTCAGATGATACTCCAAAAAGTAATAAAAATAAAAATCTAAATGTGAACATAATACAAGATAATGAGTTTGGCTTAACCCCTTAATAGCAATCTAAAATCACGAGTTCATAAACTTGGGCAAGTTGTGGTCTCTTGTTATATGTTAAAAATGAGGTTTTTTATGTTTCTAACTTTAATATTTTGTAGGTGAGTTAATTGCTTGTGTATGCTTGGCCACACTATCATTTTATTTTGGAATCCTCTCATTCTTGTTATTCATTTCATATTGTTTTTATTATATTTGCTTCCTTTTATATAATTTTACAGTGTTTTTATGTATTGGCAGTGTGTGTTCTTGGAACTAGCGAGTTCACTTTTTGCTGCAATTTGCACACAACATAATTTGCACATTAAGGTCCATTTCATTCATGCCTTAATATCTTTTAGATGATACTCTCCAAAACAAAATAATAATTACTGAAGAGTACTAATAAGAAATTATTGGTCCATTAACACTTGGTGGATCAGTTAGATATAGATTCTCGAATTGAGAAAATGGTCCTACAAGAGTGTATTAATAAATTACAAAGTTTTATAATCGGAGGGTTTTCATTGAATTAGTCCCGGACCATCTAATAATTTCTCGTCCTATCACAGTGTTGTTAGAATTGGTTATTTTTAAATACATTAATTAATTGAATTTCTATTTTCATGAGACCCCCTTTTTAAACAAAAGTACTCTTTTAAATTATGTGACTTTCTTCTTCTCTTCTCTTTTAATGGATTCATATAGGCCAGGAAAGAATCCATACACTTGCAAGACGGATTCTAAGATAGATTTTTTTTTTTTTTAAAAAAAAAAAAAATTAGTTGTTATATATAAATGGATTTTTTTTTTTTTAAAAAAAAAAAAGAAGAAAAAAAATTCATTCACGTAGTTGTAAAAAGAAATATATACGTGTGTGTGTGTGTGTTTGTGTGTGTATATATATATATATATAAAAAACTAATTTTGTATTTTTTTTTTTTTGTTTAAATCTCAGAATCCATATTGCATATGGATTCTCTTCTGGCTCTCTTCTCTCTTTTTTTTCTTTTAAGATTTTTTCCCTCATAATCCATCTCTTGTGAATGGATTATCTTATCTAATTTTTTTTTTTCTTTTTTCAGAATCCATTTACATAACATTAGTTATATTATATAAGTTATATACACACATACATCTCTAGATGAATCGATTAAAAGATTAGAGAAGAAGAAAGGCTTATATATTTTTAAAAGGTATTTTTGTCTAAAAAAATAATGTTTGTAGAGTCTCATAAAAATAAAAATAATTAATACTTACCAGTATTTTACTAATAGCAAATTATAATCACGAGACACAAGTCCTATAAACGTAAAATTGTGAATTCGGTCGGCCCAAAGACTTTTTAAAAGAAAAAAAGTTTTTTCAGTGAAAAAATGAATTCCGCTGCCGGGACTCGAACCCGGAGCTCTCGTGAGAGAGCTGAAACCATTGATCATTTAAAGTTGGCTACAGCGGATTTTTGTTAATATTGTCCACATTATATCATTATATAGTATATATCATTTTGTTGACCACCAACCTGCTGCTTTACCGCCCAATTTAGTTGGCAACTCAGTCATGCTGGCTATCAAACAATTCGAGATGTATTACGCAGTTCATCTCAGCTCCCTCAATTTGGTGCAAGTTCATGAGAAGATTATGGCAATGGATTGGCATTGTAAGCTGCAGCATGCAAACAGGGAAGCTGGGTCGAATGGGCTGGTAACTGGTTAGTAGTCCTGAATGAGCCCTTGGTTTTTAGGTGCTGTGGCCTGCGGCAGGCAGCCTCTCGACCCAACCCGAAGAGGATGTAATGTTAGCTACACCTTTCATTGAAGACCCTTCCTTGAAAGGTATCATTGAGCAGCAATAGCCAATAGGAGATTATATTGCACAATTTAAACAAAACATAAATACAATTTATTTAAATAAGCATCCTCTGTGTAAAAAGCCAACTATTACTGAGTTTTGTTGGCCATACAAATGAATAAAATAGAAAACAAACAACATTAGACTTGTATTTATGATGTGGTGTTGGTCAAAGAAAATTTTCCTCAATGTCCATTCGCATGCTTCTTGAGCTTCTTGTGGATGTTGTCTTTTGCAAACTTCGCTAGTTGTATAACTCTTCCTTGCCAATCTCTTCAGAGTTATAGACCCCTCTCCTGATTGTTCAGCTAAGTGATGGTGGTGGTCAAGACAAATTTTCTCATTGCTTGGCTGAGATTTCCAACCTCAAAAACAATAGCAATATCCCTTGTCACCTCCTTGGTTAAGACAGCTTTCCTTGTGGCATGGCGTTCAACAACCAAGAGCTAATCAGCAGGAGTTTCCATAAATCCTTATAGCCACCTTCAACTGAATTTGGCAATCCCAATATTCAAAATCTGAAACCTCACTCTGAGACTCTTTTGAATTTCATACTATATTGTCAAACTTCAAAATTCCATTTTGTTGCCTATCGGACATGTTAGTCTGAAATTGAAAACCTTTGGCAAGTCTTACCAGTAGCCATTGCATGAACAGACTCCGCTTTTAAAATGGTGGAAACGAGTTGCATCCCTAACAACAAACTGACGATCCACAATTTTGCTGACCAACGTTATAAACAAATGACAATCTCCACATACCCTTAAGTTCTTTATCACAAGAATCTCTGCCCCCACACCAGTATTTAAGAGCGCAAATGCAATGGCTAACCTTTCGCTGTGCACTCTCATGCCACTTATAAGCTCTTCATTTCGTCCTGCTTTATCATTCTTCTTCGGCCGATCAAATCCCTCAACTAAATCTTCTAGCCTATCGAGCATTTTATATATCTCCTCTGTTTGAGGGTGACTTGTATCCCCGGCCACAAAGAGGTGAGTCCTACCTTTATGTTCAACATAACTACATCCGGGCTCCTTCTTGAGCTTCCGCTCTCTCATCATCACTCGAATTCTTAGTACTCCCTCCAAATTGTTTGCTTCAGAGTATATATTTGACAACAACACATAGTAACCAATGTTTGTGGGTTCAAGCTCAATGACTCGTTGGAAAGCTAATTCAGCAAGTTCAACATTTTTATGGATCTTACAAGCTCCCAAAAGGGCACCCCATAAAGCACCATCAGGTTTTACTGGCATTGACCTAATGAGCTCCTGAGCTTCCTGAAGTCTACCAGCCCGACCAAGAAGATCTACTACACAAGAGTAATGCTCTGGACCTGGCTGCAACCCATATTCCCTCCCCATTACAGCAAAATAATGCAAGCCCTTATCAGTCAATCCAGCATGGCTACACGCAGACAAAACACTGACAAAGATTGCTCCATCAGGTCGAATGCCAGTCATAATCATCTTGTCAAAAAGTTGCACGGCAATTTCTCCTTGCCCATGCATTCCATACCCACCTATAATTGCCGTCCACGAGACCAAGTTCTTTTCCGGCATGTCATCAAAAATAGCTCGAGCTCTTATCAAATTGCCACATCTAGCATACATATTAATCAGAGCATTTTTAAGGTATGTATTAAATCCAAACTCACTTAATTCTATTTGTCGTTCTATCTGACAACCAACTTTTTGGGCACCAAGGTTAGCACAAGATGACAGAACTCCCACAAGAGTCACAGGATCAGGACATATACCTGACAACTTCATCTCTTGATAAAGGTCCAAAACATGGGTAGCAAGCCCATTTTGTGCATATCCAGAAATCATCGCGTTCCAAGTAATCAACCCCTTCTGGGGAATTTCATCAAACAACTTGCGGGCGAGTTCAACTGACCCACACCGAATATACATAGAAAGCAAACAATTTTCAACAGAAATATCAGTGTCCAAACCACACTGGACAGTACAGCAATGAAGTGACATCCCAAAACCCAAATGCATAGCAACTGTACATCCTGGAATTAAGCCCAACATTGTAACAGCATTAACCGATACACCCAGTGACCTCATTCCACAAAATAAGATAATTGCATTCGAAAATTGAGAATTGTGAGCGTACCCAGCAATCAAAGCATTATAACAAACAGTGAGCTTTCTTGACTGGGGATTTTCATCAAACAGTTTACCTGCATTGTCAACTGAATAGCATTTACAATACATTGAAATCAAAGCAGTTTGGACAAAGGGTTCCGATTGGCACCCGGTTTTCACGACGTGGGCGTGGAGCTGTTGGCCGAAGATGGGAAGCGAGAGGAAGGCGCAGGACTTGAGAGGAAAAGGGAATGTGAATGCGTTGGGAGAGTCGCCTGAGCGGAGCATTTGGCGGTAGAGGTTGAGGCCTTGTTGGTATTGGCCTTCTTTTGCTAGTTTTCTCAGGCGAGGGTTCCATGAGCTGTTTGTCTTTGTTGCGTTTCTTATGGTTAGAAGGTGTGAAAACAATGTGTTTGTGGAGGGAACAAGTGATTGGGGTCTGGTCATGGCATGGCATGGCACCGGTTAAAATTGAAACCATTTCTATTAAAAGGCAAATATTTGCTCAAAATTTTAACATATAGAGATTTTAAACAAACACGTTGAAATATATTTTAAATATTATTATTTTTAATTTTAAAATCATTACTTTTTGTTTCTAACACAAATTTGATGGGTTAATGTTTGGATCAATGCGCTTCCGAGTTTTCGGGATTAGTTGGTTGTTAGAGAATTTTAAGGGTTCGAACACCCAAATTAACTAAATATATACACACACACAGATACATGTGTGTGTTTAAGTACATATTTTAATAAGTTGGCAAAAGTGCAAAAAAATGCAAATACTCCCGTAGGACTTAGGGGTGCACAGGATTCCGGTCGGAATCGGAACCGGAACCGGAACCGGAACCGGAACCGTTCACGACGGTTCCTTAAAATTGGAACCGGAACCGTATAGATGATAACCGAACCAGAATCGAACCATAGAACCGATTCGGTTCCATGAGAACCGTTACAGTTGATGGCATAGCAACAAGGAGGAGGCAAACAAATTATTTAGAATTTCCCAACAACAAGAGGTTCTAGAAAAAAGGAAATTTAGCAAACCAAACAGCATCACCGATGCCACTCGTTTTTATTAAAATTTCAAAAATGAAATTTCTAACACAAATTAACCCCTTTTCAATTCAGTAATGAAGTTCACATTCACATTCAAAGAGGAAAAAAACAAAAAATATATAGTTAAAAAAAAATGAAAAGATCCATCGGACATCAAATTTCCAGTGTTCATGATAATGAACTTATGGCAACTGAAAGAAACATAATTGCATAAGAGTAGAAAATCAAAATCAAAGATTTACACCATCCGATCAGAAGATAAAAAAACAGGGGACAATAGAAAAAGAAATACACTACCCAATAATTAAACACCACATTAGTCTTTGCAAACTCAAATTTTAGTAGTCATAGAAATATGAATTAAAGTGAAAAAAAAAAAACATGGTTTCACGGATCCCCGAGTGGGCTAATCTTGAAGTTCTTGCCGATGGTTGTTGGTGCGGCAGTGAGAGAACCTCGGCGATCCTTGCAATTGGATTACTTTGATTCTTGCAGATTTTGTAGTTTACAGACTTACAGTTGCAGAGAGAGAAAGAGGGGGCAAGTTCAGAGTCGAGAGAATAAATATGGAGATTGGGGAGGCTAAGGCTCAAATTTAGGGCAAAAAAACTAAAAAAATAGGTGTGTGAGTGTGTGTATATATATATATATATATAATTAACCGTATATATAATATATATTATTTATATATATAATTAACCGTATATATATGTATATGGTTCTGGTTCTTACTGGTTCCCATGGACTGGAACCGAAATCGGAACCGTATGTTCACGGTTCCTAAATTCGGAACCAGGATCGGAACCGGAACCGTGAGAACCAGAAAGTGCACAAAAGAATCGGAATCGTGGAACCGGAACCGTGAGAACTGGGAAAAACGGTTCCGGTTCTCACGGTTCCGATTCTTTTGTGCACCCCTATTAGGACTCATTGGATCAAATTTTTCCGGCATGTGTAAAGTCACGCACCTGGTGAAATTATGATAATGCCCAAATTGCCCTTTTAATATATATATAAATTTATTTTTTGTGATATTTATATGTTTGATGGTGTATTTTCCTATATATATATATATATATAGAGAGAGAGAGAGAGAGAGATTCAGTAATATATATATATGTGTGTGTGTATATATATATAGTATATAGATTCGGTAGTATATAGACACTGAATCTTTGATGATACAAAATAGGGTCTTCTTATTATTTCTCAAAATCATTCTACTGCCCTTTTTCATCAAACCCGCTAAAATACTTGTTTATGTCAGAAATTCTATGTTCTTGGTTATGTTTGGTAAAGGCAATTGTTGTATAGGAGCGCGTAGGTGGCAAGTTGAATCACCCATCATCTCATCGAAACTGAGAAGCCTTGGTCGCTGTTCTCAACCTCTCCGATAACCGCACTCTCCTACGCATCAGACCGCTTCTTTCGTTGCTCAACAAACTGAGCTCATTAGAAAACCCATCAACGCCAAGCCTTAATCCGACCCAGTCAAGGCAGCCATCACCGTGCCCAGCTTCCTGCTCGCCTCTGCCATCGCCATCGCTGGTCTGATCACTGTCAGCCGGAGCCATTCAAGGCCGGACCAGCCGCCACCAACAGCAGAACTCACCGCTGTTCAATGCTTTTTATCGCGAGTCGTCCCATCATCTCTGTTGCCGCCGTCGGGAATCCTCTGACGTCGCTCTCACCACCACCCTCTGCTCCTGCCCAAAGCCCACAGACACTGCCGACATATTTTATTGCCGTCTTCCTCAACTCGCCGTCCCGAGCACATCATTACTCGTTACGATGGGTTATACAAAGCTCTTTGCACCACAGAGTCCTCTAATCTCACCGATCTTCCCACCGTTGACAAAAAATAATTTCATTGTCACTGGCAGTCCATTTTTTTCATTCATGATCTCGTGATTGCCATTCATGGTGATGATTTTCCCGTCACTCCTCTTGGCTTCGTGCTTCAGTTTTTAGAGGAAGTAGAGGAACTTAATATCATCTCCACCACGGTTAAGCACGTCGTCGGCAAGTGTCAGGACTTGCTTTGATTTGTGGAGGTGGCTGACGGAGGTGGAGGTCGTTGATTAGGCCGGCAAGTGTCGGGGATTGTTTTGATTCATAATTTAGGGCAACTTAAGTCAGTGGGGATATAATTGATATTTTATAATTAAGTTTTTTTTTTTATATATAATGAAATAAGTAAGGTTATTTAGGTCATTTCAAATCAACCGACGCTGAAAAGCTGATCCGGCGAGTTCCGGGGATCTTTGCACGCTTTGATATTTAAGGGGGAAATTTGCAACAAAGTAAATAGTTGAGTTTTTTTTTTTTTTTGCACTTTTGCGTAATAAGTTAGGTTGAGAAATCAATAATGTGTTAGCAAACTGACGGGCCAATGCGTATGCAAACGAAGCCCTAAAAACATTTTCTCTTATTTCCCGCCTTCGCACCCAAAAGTGCACAACATTGGCGGCAAAATTAAAAGGGTTATTGGAATGGGTCCTTGTGGATGAGATCTAGGGTTTCTACTTTCTATTCTACCACTGCCAGTAGGCCCCTCCCCACTCACGCTTTCGGCAATCACAAGCAGGTCGCCGGCCTTCTCCTTCCGATTAACTTTACGGCCACACCAGCTTCGTTCCGACCAGATCGTAATTTTGTGGAGGTACTCTCTCTCCATTTATATATATATATGCATATTTTTTTATCCATGGAGAACTCTCTGATCTATTTCTCTCTATCTTGTCCTTCAATTGCACACACAAACACACGTTAATACCTTCAGATGCACACATGGTGAACTCTAATATACAATTCCTATCAAATTGAATAAATTTTTTCAGATTCTGTCTCATATATTCATGTTATGCAATCAACTCATTTTTCTCATTCATGTTCAAGGTAGACAACTCTATGTATAGCTCACACCCTCGTTCAGTCTTCCCTTAAAAGGAACGAAGGAATTGACAGAAATGAAATCCTCCCTAATTGTCAAATCTATAACGAAATCAACAACATTATGTTTGGTAAATATGGAAACAGCAGTGACATGATTTCTCTATTTCTCTCTGTTTTTACAATTCCATTACGTTGGAAAACAGACTGTACATGATTTTTGACACGGATAAATTTTGGTGTTATAACACTCAGCCTCTCTTTTTCAATACGGAACTAAGTCTACATAGTCTCTACATCATTTTTAACATCCAAAGTAATGGCTGAAGAGCCTGAAAAATGAGTTATGCAATTGCTTGCGTTTGTTAATACTTACAGAAAGAAGCCCATGTTACTGTATATGTGGGTTTTATAACTCATAATCTGTCAATCTATGGCCTGTATGATCTGCATAAGCTTAGTAATTGGTGAACTACGTTATACATTAATACTTTCGAGAAATTTCAATAAAGTGGAAGAGGAATTACAAGCACGTAAAAGAAGGAATGGATAATGTTATGTACACAGTTTCCACTACCCTTGCAATTCATTGTTACTCGTATGTGGCACCCATTGCAAAATTGGTGGTGTAGGTTAATTGGTTTTTCTCAGCTCTGATTGGTGCATTGAATTGGATGGTCCAACTACGTTTGTAAATGAACTTAATTATAGTTGTCATAATTTTTAGAAGTTATGTCAATTTAGTTACAAGGCTTCGTAGCTGGACAATTAATACAATGTGAATAAGTTTTAGTGGTCTCTATTATAGTTGCAAAAACCCATAGATCTGGGTTCAAGTCTTTGCTGGAGTTGGGGTTGGAAGACCTTCATCACTTTCTTGCATACAAGTGAGAAGGGGAAAAAAAAATCTCTGAAGTCCAATTGTTTAAATCACAGTTCTACCGCCAAGGACTATAAGTCTATAACCTAGTCTAGTGATACTTCTTCACCTTCCATGGTATAATAGAAAGTCGAGAATTTAAGTTCCCATAGGGGCAAAGTGGGTGTGTGAGTTTTAAATAGGAAACAATTGTTCATATCATAACTCTGCTATGCTTAATCCTCTGCAATGCTACCTAATAATTTTTTCCTTGAGTCCACCCGTTTAGACCACCTTATCTTTTCTGTTAACTAGCTGTTCTCATTTTCTATTTAGTTGATTAGTATTCTGTATTATACTCAAAAGTTCTAAATTTTTTTGTTGAACTAATAAAATGGTTATTAATCAGTCCTGATCCTGAGCACTGGTTATGTAAAATTCATTTGGGATTGCTCATTGGTCATTGGTCATTATGTTCTCAGTTTCCATACATTAACTTACTGCAGGTAGGTTATGAACTGCGACTTGTGCTCTGGAACTAGAATCACTTTTCGGGATTGGGCAATTCTTTCATTTTTATGTGATCAAACCCTTCTCGTTTCTTATTTTTCTGTTGCCTTGGGTTATGTTCTGCATGAAATTTACCTCCTTGTAATTTCACATCCTGCAGTTCAGTTTCTATTTTTTTGATAAGTAAGAAATTTTTTAGAAAAGCGCTCAAAAGGGGAGAGAAGCCCAGAAGATATACACAAGGCCACAAAGGACCTTTAAGCCTTCAAAGAGGCCAAAAAAATTGACAATTTCCTCTAAAGATCTATGATCTCTCATAGAAACCCAACAAAAAAGGGTGGAAATAATAGAGAATTTAAGAGTAGAAATCGACAACTCTTTCCCATCAAAATATCTTCTATTCCTCTCGAGCCAAATACACCACCACACACAAAGAGACGTAGCCCTCCAAGCATCCAGAATGTGGGCCCCCACATGGCAACCTCTCCAAGCCTCAATCAACCCTCTAATGGATCCAGGCATAACCCAAAGAATCCCAAACAAGCCAAACATCAAATTCCAGCAGTCTCTAACCATGGTGCAATGGAGGAGAAGGTGATCCACAGTTTCCTCATCCCGAAGACACATATAGCAACGATTGACCACCACCTGATTTCTCCTTCTCAAATTATCCTGGGTTAAGAACCTTCCCAGAACAGAGGTCCAAGCGAAAAAACCCACCTTGAGAGGAGCCTTAGAGCGCCAAACAGCCTTCCAAGGGAAGCGAACTCTAGGATCATCCGTGAGGCATCTGAAAAAGGAACTAACCTCAAAGCACCCATGAGGGGTGGCAACCCAGGACTAACTATCAGAAACCCCATCCACAATCCTCTGGATATACAACAACTCCAAAAAACGATTGGCCTCCTCAATCTCCTAATCCTGAAACAACTGCCTGAATCAAACATCTCAAAAGCAGTTAACCACCATGGCCTGCCTATCCGTAGCAATCTTGAAAAGTTGAGGAAAAGTGATGGCGAGAGGAGAATCCCCACACCAAACATCCTCCCAAAAACTGATCCTCCTACCATCCGTGATTAGAAAACGAACATGTTTGGAAAACTCATCCCATCCTTTCCGAATGACTTTCCAAACCCCCACACCCCGAGGGCTACGCACCTCCAAAGAACACCACCCTCCTCTAGACTCCCCAAAGCGACAAACAACAACTCTCCTCCAAAGCCAATGCCTCTCCACACCAAATCTCCACAACCATTTTCCAAGGAGAGCCTTATTAAAAGGCACCAGTCTTCTAAGACCCAAACCTCTATAACGAATTGGCCTGCACACCTGATCCCAACCAACCAGATGAAACTTAAACTCTTCTCCTCTACCCCCCCCCCCCCCCCCCGGGTAGAAAATTACGCTGCAATCTCTCAATCCTCTTTGCAACTGAAGAGGGAATCTGGAATAGAGAGATACCCCGCAGAAAATTACGCTGTAATCTCTCAATCCTCTTTGCAACTGAAGAGGGAATCTGGAATAGAGAGATAAAATAAGTAGGAAGGCAAGAAAGGGTGCTCTTAATCAGAGTGACCCAACCTCCCATGGAGAGATACTGCTTCTTCCAACCCGCCAACCTCTTCTCAAACCTATCCATTACAGGATCCTAAACCCTAACACATCTTGAAGGGGCCCCCAAAGGCATCCCTAAGTAAGAGGTGGGAAAAGAGCCAGTACGACAACCAAGAATATCAGCAAAAAACTCAATCTCAGGGACCTCTCCCACCGGCACCAAAACGCTTTTACCCACATTCACTTTAAGGCCAGAAACAACTTGGAACCAGATCAGGACACACCTCAGATATTTAAGCTGGGACACATTCGCATCACAAAGAACCAAAGTGTCATCGGCAAACATCAAATGGGAGACCAACTGGGGAGCAGCATCCCTGCCCACCCGAAAGCCTCTCAAAAACCCCAACTCAATAGCCTTGCTCATCAGTCTGCTAAGGGCCTCCATCACAAACAGGAACAAAAAGGGGGAAAGCGGATCCCCTTGTCTCAAACCCCTCAAGTTAGAGAAAAAACCGGTAGGAGCACCATTCACAAGAATTGAAAAGCGAGCACTGGAAATACAAAAATGAATCCATCTCCTCCACCGATCACCAAACCCCATCCTCTCCATCAGGTAAAGAAGGAAGCTCCAACTCACGTGGTCGTATGCCTTTTCCAAGTCAAGCTTACACAAAACTCCCGGGACCCCACTACGCAAGCAGGAGTCCACACACTCACTAGCAATAAGAACTGAGTCCAAAATCTGACGACCTCCCACAAAAGCATTCTGAGAATAAAAAATGACACCATTCAGGACTTTTCGTAACCTTGAAGCAAGGACCTTGGTAATCAACTTGTAGAAACACCCCACTAAACTAATAGGGCGAAAATCCCTAATATCCATCGCCAACCTCTTCTTAAACCTATCCATTACAGGGTCCTAAACCCCAACACATCTTGAAGGGGCCTCCAAAGGCATCCCTAAGTAAGAGATGGGAAAAGAGCCAGTACAACAACCAAGAATATCAGCAAAAAACTCAATCTCAGGGACTTCTCCCACCGGCACCAAAACGTTTTTACCCACATTCACCTTAAGGCCAGAAACAACTTGGAACCAGATCAGAACACACCTCAGATATCTAAGCTGGGACATATTCGCATCACAAAGAACCAAAGTGTCATCGGCAAACCTCAAATGGGAGACTTCCAACTGGGGAGCAGCATCCCTGCCCACCCGAAAGCCTCTCAAAAACCCCAACTCAATAGCCTTGCTCATCAGTCTGCTAAGGGCCTCCATCACAAACAGGAATAAGAAAGGGGAAAGCAGATCCCCTTGTCTCAAATACAAAAATGAATCCATCTCCTCCACCGATCACCAAACCCCATCCTCTCCATCAGGTAAAGAAGGAAGCTCCAACTCACCGAGCTAGAGAAAAAACTGGTAGGAGCACCATTCACAAGAATTGAAAAGCGAGCACTGGAAATACAAAAATGAATCCATTTCCTCCACCGATCACCAAACCCCATCCTCTCCATCAGGTAAAGAAGGAAGCTCCAACTTACGTGGTCGTATGCCTTTTCCAGGTAAAGCTTACACAAAACTCCCGGGACCCCACTATGCAAGTGGGAGTCCACACACTCTCTAGCAATAAGAACTGAGTCCAAAATCTAACGACCTCCCACAAAAGCATTCTGAGAATCAGAAATGACACCATTCAGGACTTTTCGTAAATATCATGGTAAAACCGTCAAGACTTGGGGCTTTGTCCCCGTTACAACTCTTCAAAGCAATAAGAACTTCCTCTTTAGAGAAAGGCTCCTCAAGACCCGAGCACTCCTCATTAGAAGTAGAGGTAAACTGAAGCCCTTTAAGCAAAGGTCTGCAGTTCAGTTTCTGATTCCGTTATTTGCTATTTTTTCTTTTCTTTGTTGAGAATGTATTGTTCCAGATAGATAGTTAAGTAGTAAAAGTTGGCCATCATATTTCAGGCATCAGTTGGCATCTAAAATTCCAGAAAAGTTTATGTGAAAATGACAAGGGAAAGAGTATAAACCATGGAAAATATATGGGGAAAGAAAATTTCAACAAAAAATATTTGGCCAACCAATCTTTTTCAGAGATTTCAACACATAATATATGTGTGTTAGAAGAATAAACGTTGGTAGTATATCTTGAGGTTTGTTGAACATAGTGGCTGTGCTTAAATTAACTGTTGATGGTTTGATGATTCTTAGTGAATTAAGGTTTGGAAGGCCTTTTCTTTTTGAACAGACACAAACACACATATATTATGTGTGTGTCTGTATATTAGAGAGGGCTCATGATACCATTTTTCAATTGGTTCGTTGGGAGCAAGTTTGTAGGCCGATTCGGAATGGAGGATTGGGGCTTAGAAGATTGGTGCCTTTCAATAAAGCTCTCCTTGGGAAATGGTTATGGAGGTTTGGGGTGGAGAGGCATTGGCTTTGGAGGAGGGTCGTGGTGAGCAGATTTAGGGAGAATAGAGGAGGGTGGTGCTCTCTTAAGGTGCGTGGTCCTAGGGGTGTGGGGGTTTGGAAGTTTATTCGACAGGGTTGGGCTGATTTCTTCAACTATGTTCGGTTTTGCCTCAGGGATGGCAGGCGGATTAGTTTTTGGGAGGATGTTTGGTGTGGGGACCTCCCTCTTGCTCTTGCTTTTCCTCGACTGTTCAGGATTGCTTCGGATAGGCAGGCCAGGGTGATCAACTGTTATCATCTTGATAATGGGAGATTGGTTTGGGATGTTCGATTCAGGCGTCTCTTTCAGGATTGGGAAGTTGATGATGTCATTCGTCTTCTGGAGGTGTTGTATAGGCAGGGTGTGATGGTCGGAGATTCTGATGTTTGGATTTGGGCTCCCAATGCTCAGGGTCGCTTTGATGTGTGGTCTTTCTTCAGGTGTCTCACTCATGAGCCTGAAAGTCCTTTCTTGTGGAAGGCAGTTTGGCGTTCTAAGGCTCATCTTAAGGTGGCCTTTTTTGCTTGGACCTCTGTTTTGGGAAAGATTTTGACTCAGGATAATTTGAGAAGAAGGAATCAGGTGGTGGTTAATCGGTGTTACTTGTGCCTTCGGGATGAAGAGTTAGTGGATCATCTTCTTTTGCATTGTCCTTTGGCCAAGGAATGTTGGGATTTGATGCTTGGCCTGTTTGGCTTTCTGTGGGTCATGCCTGGCTCTTCTAGAGGTTTGATTGAGGCTTGGAAAGGCTATTCTGTGGGGGCTCACATTCGAGAGGCATGGAGGGCTGCGCCTCTTTGTATTCGGTGGTGCATTTGGCTTGAGAGAAACAGGAGATACTTTGAGGGAAAAGAGTCTCCTATTTCTGTTCTAAAGTTCTCCATTGTTTTTACTCTTTTTTGTTGGGTTTCGGGTAGAGATTGTAGATCTTTAGAAGACATTGTTGATTTTTTGGCCTCTTTGAAGGCTTAGTGGTTTTTGTTTTTTGCTGTTCCTTTGGGTTGCGCTCCCCTCTTGAGCGTTTTTATACAATTCTTACTTAAAAAAAAAAAGAAAAAAAAAAAAGAAAGATTGGTTGGCCAAATATTTTTTGTTTCAATTTCCTTTCCCCTTTTTCCATCACAAGTTCTTAAACTGTGAATTTAATGGAACCTTTTGATGTCTACTTCTGGTTGGAAATGAATCAAGAGGGGTACAAGAACAATAGTATGATTTTTTCCTGAAATTATGTTTGGGCACATCGAATCGGCGCATTAAAATTGAAATTGGAGGAAATTTAGTTCAAAGTTGTGCTCAAATACGATCCAAGTCGCCTATTTGGTGTCTCCAAACGCAATGTGAGAGAAATAGGCAGGTTAGGCCAGAATTACTGTGTGGAAAGTAACAATAAAATAGGTCTTTGTTGGTTTCGTTGTTGGTTTGATGCGATATATTATCCTTGATTTTGTGCTGGGATAGATTGTTCTCAGTTGAATTAATTTAATAAAGTCATAGAAGTTGACTACTTGTAACTAGCTGGGTAAGTGAATATGGAGGAGCCGTGAAACAAGGTATGTCAGAGGAAGCCTAGTTAAATTAAGTGTTTCTTGAGTGTCCTAGAAGTACAAAACATAGAGTTGTTTGTGAACTGAAGAATTTTTCTTTTGACACCAGCCAGCCATTGTTTAGAATTTGAAACCTTGTGCTGTTTAATGTGTGTTTGAAGGATATGGATACATCAAACCCTGCTGTTTTTGTCAACACGGAGCTGTTGCGCATGTATGTGGGAAGGAAGGTTCGAGCAGTTATTCAGGTTATACGATCTGATGGTGGTGTTGTTGTTGGAAAATCTACAGATGAAAAACAGTTGATGGTAAAAGGCTCTCCACCCTTTCCTCTTACAACCTTTGTTGAGGTAATTGGCATTGCCGACAGTAACCAATCTATCCATGCTGAAGTATGGACCAACTTTGGTGATACATTCGGTATGACTTCTGCTACCCCATTAATCTACCGCTTCTTACTAATTTTTGTGTCTCAGTATAGTGTGTAATGTGTGTTTGAGAATGCCAGCTATTGAAATGTGTTCAAATTAATAGCTATTAGCAGTTAACTAAATTTTATTACTTACAAATAATTTGATGAAAATGGATTGGATTACAAGTGTTTGTCCAAATATCTATAAAATAAATTAGATTGTTGCTAGAAAGTTCATATGTGGCAGCAAAATCTAATTTATCTTGTCTAAATTTGGTGAAGCTGAAGGAATTCTTATAAAACAGTGACTTCTACATCTAGATTTTACCTGAATTACTAGTTCTTTTGCCCTGCAAGCAAATATTCTCAAGAGAGACACTTGCAATATACTGGAAAGAACCCCCATCCTTTTCCTGCTTGCAGTAAAATGTTTTAGAGATTTTGAAAAAATCCCCAGCCATTTTATTTAGTCGTTGTCATTACTCGTCAACCCTGCCTTCAGTTGAGTTATTCTTCTAGATGGTTAAAAGGCACTAGCAGCACAAAACACGGTGTATCCTACTAAGATATTTGATAAACAAAGAAATGCAGCTTAGGTCTATTTTAAAGTTGAATGACATCTGATAGTGTATTTTCTTTGTGTTTATCTTTTATTTTTAAAATTTTTTGTGGATTAGGTCAACAACTCGCACAATCTTGTTTGCTTCCACATCTCCTATGGGGAGGTGGAGGCGATACCACCCAAGCCAAGGGCTTTGTGGTTGAAGTGTGATGAAATTATTATCAATCAACTTTTATATTATAGTGGATTCTTATTGGTCTCTTTGATTTTATGATTATTGTGGACATTTGCCTAGCTATTAAAGGACATTCCTCCCCCTCTTTTGGCAGACACAAACAACTACAATCAGCTTTGCCAGCTTGCAAATGGGGAATACAAGCACTTGTTTATCTAAGGAAGTACAAGGAGCGTGGTTTGCACTGTGACAGCATATGAGGTAGAACATAGTGATGAACCAAGCCTGCTGTTTGGTTTTTGGCATTGAATTAGGAGCTTAAATTTGGGTTAGGTCATCTGAATAACTATTAGTGAAGTTGCTTGGTTTTCGGAGTCCCTTCTAACATTATTCAATGCAAGAATATCAATCTTGTTTGAACTTCAATGTGGGAGCCTCTGGTTGATTTAAATTTAATTAATGATGCTCGAGACATTTCGTGTAATTAAATACACTTTGGGCACATATGTCAAATTTATAATGCTATGATATGTTTGGATATCGTGTGGAAAGGATATGATTCCCTTGTGATTTGATGTAGCATTTTCTCCAATTTCAAATCTGAAGTGACTAATTGGTGCTCCCAAATGCAACATTAAATTAGTTTTCTCTCTTGTTGCTTTGTTGCTGCTCGGGTGGTATCAATTTTGAATTGCCTATTGTAACATTTTCAAGGTAACCCTATGAAAATTATAAGGGAATTCCTGGCTGGATGTGAATTGGGAAGGTCATGACTCATAACAGCTAAATGTGTGGGAGGATTTAGTTGTATGGGACCCAAATCATTTCCGATAATGATTTCATGTTATTCCTTCCAGATTGTTGGTGAATTTTATCATTTTCAATGGTGAAATTCGTATCCATAATCTTCACAAACAAGTTAATTCAAATATGTTAGATTTTACCATTGTAGTAGAGATCATTATTGAAATTTACAATCCAATGGCTTAATTGGTAGATCGTTCAGCTTCTTCTTGAGCGGGTGTGAGTCTCCTTGTTTGTCAGGAAAAAAACAGGATAGTAAAATTTACTAACCAAATATAAGTGAATAGATATGGGAGAAGATTTTCATTCTAACCCTACCTTGAATGAATGTTTGGACAATGGTTGAATGGGTGGCCTCTTTCTTTTGTACTGGTGCAGGTGATTTCGGAATTGGTGCAGTAGCGTTTTTCTAAATATAAATTATATTTTTGATGACTCTAGGAAGGTGTCCTACTCCTAAACAATATTTTTAGTTAAGGAGCTAAGAGAGCCCGTTTGGAAAACTGCTTTTCAACGGTTTAAAAACACATTTATCTTAAAAAATTGCTTTTAGAATTAGATATGTTTGGTGTTTAGTAGTTACTAACTTACTAGTACTTAATTTTAGCTTTAATATAATTTTTGAATGAAGCTAAAAATTTTAACTTTTAAATCTGATTTTTGGGCAGAGGTTTCATATTTTGTGTAACTAATTTTCAATGGATAATTTTAATTTTAATTTTAAATTTTTTTTAATAAAAATAATTTCACCCTTCTATAAAATTATTATTATCAAATATAGTAAGTAGTAGTAGTCATTCTATTAGCATTAATTAACAAATATTGTCACCAAATAAATTATTAAAATGTATTTTAGTTATGTATGATAGATAGTACTTTATCACCAAACATAAAATAGGCTTTTATTAAATATATATATATATATATTTATTTATTACCAAACGACTCTCAGTCTCAGGTATCCAAAAGCTCTCTAGTAAGGTATTCAAAAGCTCTCTAATGACGAGTATTATCTAATACTCTCTTTATTAACCACTAAATTGAGATACCATTTAAAATCTGTAGAAAGTCATAATTATTTTCTTCAAATAAATTTTTTAATCCAGCATTCAATTAGAACGTCACTGGTGTATAAAACACTTTATTAAAAGTTGGAGTGATACCTAATTTGCATTTGATATCATGCAATTATTTATTATTTGAAAAGATTTCAGCCGTTGAATATGTGATGGGATTCACCTGATGGATGATGGATGATCCAATGATCGAGAGAACCCGAGGGGACCCTACCCCAAGAATATTGTAGACTTTCTGGAAAAAAAAAAAATGAGGGAGGTTAAATTGTTAAATATCTAACTCGAGTGCAAAAACAATTTAAAATGTTTTTAGTTTGAATTTTGATCAAAAGATCGGTATAAAAAAAATATACAATGGTATTTGAGATTATCAAACAAAATATTGTCAGAAATTCATAAAATGAAAGCACAATATTATATTTGAAATGATGGTATTGATAGGGGCAATATCTACAAGTTTTTTTTTTTTTGGGAAGGGGGGTGAGGGGGGATTATATAACATGTGGGACAAAAGTGGAGGAAGAGAAAAGTAGACGTGGGTGAAGAGCGTGTGAGATTTGACTGACCAAAGGTAATAAAATAAAATTAAGGTCTTAAATAATTATGTCCAGCTAATACCAGTAGTTATGAACAAATTACAAACATTGAATTCAAAAAAAAAAAAAAAATACAAACATTGGCCAGTGAAATATTGACACCTGTTCAAAAAAAAAAAAAAAAAAGGATCACACCCATCTGAAGATCAGGTTTGTTGGCCGTAATCACCGAACTTCAGCCACGTGACCGATCAAAATCTTCAATAAGATCGATATAGTAGACGCCATAACATAGGAATTTTGTTGCATCCACTAGCTTTTCAAGACCGAATCTCATGAATCTAAATCGACATTTACTCAGTATTACACTATTCAATCAATCATGGTTCTTTAATTTTCTGGGAGTTTAATTTTGTGCTCTCTTATGGGTGATTTTGGTGATTACTCGAGAGAGGTGGGGAGTGGCTGTTGTGGTGGCCAACGGTGGAGAGTGGCTGCGTGGTGGTGGAGGTGGGCAGGGACAATCATTAAGGTTTTCTTTTCTCAGATGGATTTTACCCTTTAACCCAGTAAAAATAGGTCTCGTTTAATTTTTTTTTTAAATATTATTTAATTTTTAAACGAGCCTTTACCGGTTCACGACATCTAAGGAGGATGAAGTTTATTGTCTATATATAATTTAATCCACAACTGTTTTTGAGACCTTTAAACTTGAATGGGGTTACAGAGGAAATTTTAAGATGAAGATTGATTTGGAATTGAGTTGATAGTATTCCAAAAACTATTTTAATTCAAAAATATAAAGTACTTAAATATTATTTTCTAATACTAATAATTATATCAACTAACATAAAACAAACTACATGTAATTTGATCCGTGGAATATGCTTTTGCCTCCAACTCTAATAGCATAAGGTTATGGTAGTGATGTCTAAACTATTGGGACTGGGAAGTGTGTGGAATCATTTTAATAAGGTTAGGAATAGATTTGGCAATATAATTTAAAATTCTCAAAATTCTAAATTCATCTAATTAATAATTAATATATAAATAAATATTTTTTATTAATCGTAATTATTATTTTTTATTTCTTATGATAATTTTAAATTTATCAATATTTTTGTTACTATGATTATTAAATAATTGACTATATTAAAAAAAAAAATTACAAAATTTATTTTAAATTTGTTTAAAATTTGAATTGTTTTTTAAAAATATATTTATATTTGGATGTCTTGACTTCTATGCGGAGTGCTTCCAAAGTTCGAACTGAACTTGAGATGAAGACAAATATTAATAAGACGGATTTGAAAAAGTGGTGCCCGTTCCGAACCTGCCCTGCCCTATTGGTATTGTTGGTTAGAGCATCTTTTACGGTATGTTCAAAAAAAAAAAAAATTATTAAATATACAATGCTATATATGATTTGTAATTCTTTTTCATCCCCAGTTAAAATACACTGTCATATCATTAATGTGTAAAAGGGTTATATATTTTACACCGCCACGTAAGCATATTTTCTCTCTACTCTCCCTTTTCCACTCGCGGTTTTCTTTCTTCATTTTCATTCATTTACGCCTCTTTGTTTCCTACTTTTCTAGAGCTCACAAGAGAATACTCTGCAACTGGCTCTCTCATTCCTTGACGCGTCTTTGTTTCCCACTTTTTTAAAGCTCTAAAGAAGAATCTGTAACTGGCGCAAGATAAGAACTGCTCGACTATTTTTTGTTTATTTTTTAATAAACATAGTTTAATTCATTACTTTCGTTTTATCTTATCTCTTGTAATTATCGCCGTAAGTTTTTTAGATTTTTTTTTTTACATTATATTCTAGTGAGATAAATATGTACTAGCTAGTCAAAGATTAGATTTATATTTTAATCACGTTTTTATTGATATAAAATCTTTGATTATGTAAATTCTACATACTTGAATCTTATTTTATTAATTGTTATTAAGTTAGAATTCTGATGGCGGAAGGAAATGTTTGCTATTGGCGGGATGGAAAAGTGAAATATAAGGGAGAATTATTAGTTTTTTTTCTTAATTGAGGAGAATTGGGACATGAGGTTTAATCATAAAAAAGTGAAGTGAATCAAGTAGGTTTGTAAAAGTTATATAGATCTTGGATATGACACGTGGTTGGTTGTTATTGAAATATATTAAATAAGTAATATAATTTTTTTTGATAAATTTACTCTCACACATTAAATTTACACAAAATTATATGCACTACACGTTATAGGTGCTCGTAATAGTGGTGGTTTGTAATTAGGATGTGTAACCCGAATTGAATTCGGGGCATAGGCAGCTATATAGGTAATCTGCACGAATAGCCTAATAATCATTCTAGGCTAGTATTGTCTATGTTTGCTATACTGGGCTTCCTTATTGGGCTTCTTGTAATATGGATTGTAGAATGTTTTGTGGGTTGGCTGTACACGGATCGTGGGCCAGCCGCTCTTATCTATTGTAAATACTTCCTTTATTTTATAAAATTATCTTACCTTCCAAAAAAACAATTCTGCACGGACCCGCCTGAATATATGGTAAAATCGCATGTATACCCTTATTTTTAAGTTAGTATTCCTAACATCCCTTTATATATATATATATATACACACAAATTACACACACACACACACATATATATATATATATCTACTCTGGATGAGAGCTAGGGTTTTCTACTTTCTATTATACCACTACCAGCAGCCCCCTCCCACTCTCGCGCTCGGCAATCACAAGCAGGTCGCCGGCCTATTCCTTCCGATTAAATTTACGGCCACACGAGCTACGTTCCGACCAGATCGTAATTTTGTGGAGGTACTCTCTCTCTCTCCATATATATATATATATATATATATATATATATATATATTTATGTATATATTTTTATCGATCGGGAACTCTCTGATCTATTTCTCTCTCTCATCCTTCAGCTGCACACACCAACACACGTTAATACCTTCAGATGCACACACGGTGAACCCTAACATACAGTTCCTATCAGATTGAATGATTCCTTCAGATTCTATCTCATATTCGTTTTTCTCATACATGTTCAAGGTAGACAACTCTACTTATAGCTCACATCCTCTGTCAGTCTTCCCTTAAAAGGAACGACTGAATCAACAGAAATGAAATCCTCCCTAATTGCCAATTCTATGACGAAATCGAAAGCATTATGCTTGGTAAATATGGAAACAGCAGTGACATGTTCTTGCATTTGCAGCTTGTCCGGACATACACTTCTTAAATTTTGCTGGTGCTTCCCCCCACACCCCACCCAACCCCACCCCCCCCCCCCCCCCTCCCAATTCCGTAACTTTGGAAAACAGACCGAATATGATTTTTGACACGATAACTCTCAGCCTCTCTTTTTCGATACGGAACTAAGTCTACACCATTTTAAACCTCAAAAGTAATGGCCAAAGGGTCGGTAAATGAGTCATGTAATGGCTTGCGATTGTTGGCCCATCTAAATTTCTCTAATAAATGGACAGAAAGAAGCCTATATTACTGTATATGTGGGTTTTATAACTAGCCTGTCAACCTATGGCCTGTATGATATTGCATAAGCTTCGATGTTATTCCTGTAGTCATTGGTGAACTGCGTTTTACATTAATATTTTTGAGAAATTTCAATGAAGTGGAAGAGGAATTACAAGCACCTAAAAGGAGGAATGGATAATGTTATGTACACAGTTTCCACTACCCTTGCAATTCATTGTTAATCGTATGTGGCACCCATTGCAAAATCGGTGACGTAGGTCAAAGGGTGATTATCAGTTCTGATGGTGCATTCAGTTGGACGGACTAACTACGTTGGCGTACATAAATGGATAATTAATACACTGCTTGAGTAGTTGGGGTTGGAAGACCTTCATCTGAGAATGAAAAAAAAAAGAAAATCAATCTTTGAAGTCCAATTGTTTAAATCATAGTTCTACCACAAAGGACTATAAGTCTAGAACCTAGTCTAGTGGTACTTCCTCACAGCCGTATTAGAATAGAAAGTCGATAATTCAAGTTCCCATAGGAGCAAAGTGGTTGTGAGTTTTAAATAGGGAAAAAAACAGTTCGTATCATAATTCTGCTATGCTTAATCCTCTGCAAAGCTGCCTAATAATTTTTTCCTCGAGTCCACCGTTTAGACCAACTTATCTTATCTGTTAACTACCTATTCTCGTTTTCTTTTTAGTTGATCAGTATTCTGCATCAATCTATTTTTACTCGTCAAAAAAGTGACTGAATTGTTGGTTATACTCAAAAGTTCTAAATTTTTATGTTGAACTAATAAAACAGGCATTAGTCAGTCCTGATCCTGAGCACTAGTTATGTAAAATGCATTTGGGATTACTCATTGGTCATTATGTACTCAGTTTCCGTCCATTAACTTACTGCAGGTAGGTTATGAACTGGGACTTGTGTTCTGGAACTGGAATCACTTTTTGGGATTGAGCAATTCTATTTTATTTTATTTTTTTATGATCAAACCCTTCTTGTTTCTTATTCTTCTGTTGCCTTGGATTATTTTCTGCATGAAATTTACCTCCTTGTAATTTCACTTCTTGCAGTTCAGTTTCTGATTCTGTTATTTGCTATTTTTTCTTTTCTTTGTTGTGAATGTATGGTTCCGGATAGATAGTTAAGCAGTAAAAGTTGGCCATAATATTTCAGGCATCAGTCGGCATCTAAAATTCGAGAAAAGTTTATTGCTTCATTTTTTTTTTACACCTGTTAAGCATCATCATCCTCTTGATTTTTTTCCATAATTCTATCTTGCCTGTTTCTGTTAGTATTGCTGCTATGTTATGATCCCTTTCTATTGAAAATTATTCACATTGAAACTCCTTGAAGCCATTTCTCATGGCGCAAATTCAATCAAGATTCTTACTCGGAAACTCCTTTTGGCCTCTAATTTTTTCTCCACCTGTCCATATTTGTATCCTTTCTTCTGCAAATGCTTCTGGCTTCTGTGCTTCCATCACAGTTGCTGTGCAAGTTTACTTTATTCGACACGTAAGATGCCGAGGACAAGAGCCAGTTCTGCAGCAGCAAAATCAGATGAGCGAGTGAAGCCTACTGAACCTGAAAAGCCTGTTGAGTCTGAAGAGCGGGTAGACCTTGACGGAGACAATGATCTTGAGGAGACAGTAGAGGAAGAGGTTGAATATGAAGAAGTTGAAGAGGAGGAGGAAGTAGAAGAGGAAGAAGAGGAGGAGGTAGAAGAGGAGGTGGAGGAAGAGGAAGAGGAAGAGGAAGAAGAGGAAGCTACTGATGTGCAAAAAAGCCCAGATGGTGATGAAGAGATGGAAGCTGCTGATGCTGATGCTGATGCTGATGAGGAAGTACAAAAAAAGCATGCTGAGCTTCTTGCACTTCCTCCTCATGGGTCAGAAGTTTATCTTGGTGGCATTCCTCAAGATGCTTCCGAAGGGGATCTTAGGGGTTTTTGTGAATCTATAGGAGAAGTCACAGAGGTAAGATATATTCCTGTACATAAGATGGGATGCATGCTTTATGTATAGTTTAAACTGTAAATATTATTATTTGTGCTTGCTACAGGTCAGAATAATGAAGGGAAAAGACTCAAGTGAGAACAAAGGTTATGCTTTTGTTACCTTCAGAACTAAGGAATTGGCATCCAAGGCGATTAAGGAGCTTAACAATGCTGATTTAAAGGTAAATCAAGAAGATTGTTTATGTGCTCCCGTTGCCCCCCAACCCCACCCCTCCCAAAACAGCTGCATTATGTGCCTCCGTTGTCCCTCATCCCCACCCCATTGCAGGGGCCTCTGGTAGTGCATTCTTTTGTATATACATTATTTGTGTGTGTGTGTATAATATTATGTTTAACTGTAATCTGATTTTAGGTTTTCAATGACCTTTCTGCATGCTGCTGGAGTTTCTGAGATTACGAATGCATTACTCTTGATTTCTGTGAATTCTCTTTTATTCTCAGGGGAAAAAAATCAAGTGTTCAACATCTCAAGCAAAGCATAGGTTGTTCATTGGCAATGTTCCCAGAAGCTGGGGAGAAGGGGACATGAAGAAAGTGGTAACTAGCATTGGTCCAGGAGTTATCTCTCTGGAGCTGCTGAAGGTACGTTCACTTATTCAATTTTGTTTATTTTCTTGCATTATTTGCTTTATTTGGCTCTATCGTTGGTACTCCTAAGTTACCTCTACCATAACATCATTTATGAAATTGTATTCTAACTATCGCTTGTGATGGTTTTTATAGGTATTAATGTACTAAATATCTATCTGAGTTGATATTTATTAATCTTCTTTACTGTTACAGGACCCACAGAACTCAAGCCGCAATCGTGGGTTTGCATTCATCGAGTATTATAACCATGCATGTGCGGAGTATTCAAGACAAAAAATGTCAAACCCAAAGTTTAAGCTTGATGATAATGCTCCAACAGTGAGCTGGGCTGATCCTAAAAATGCAGAGTCTTCAGCTGCTTCCCAGGTGCTCTGATCTGCACTTGCTTTAACTTCCATCTTTTTAGAGTATAATAATTGATGAAATGCTAGTATCCATTGTAGTCCATGGATATAGCTTTTTTGGCTCATTTCTAGGACTCTATATTGGCGTTCTTGTGGCATGTGGACTCTCCTATTTTATCATATTGTCTTCTCTTCCTGTGTCTCCATGTTTGTTGCCCTTAAGGGCTTTAACACTGGTGCTCTTTTTGTAGTTTGTGATGATATTGACTACTTTTGATTAGGTCAGAAGTCAACTGCGATTTTGAACTACTTCACTTCTTATCTTTTGCTTAAATTAACTGTACACCAAATGCAAAATTTATATGTTTGAATACCTCTGAGTAGCATACCATAAAGGTGGAGTCATAACTTCAGGTTTTCTTCTTCAGGTTAAAGCAGTTTATGTAAAAAATTTGCCCAAAAACATTACTCAGGATCAGTTAAGGGAGCTGTTTGAACATCATGGAAAGATCACAAAAGTAGTACTCCCTCCTGCAAAAGCAGGACAGGAAAAGAGCAGATTTGGTTTTGTTCACTTTGCGGAAAGGTCTAGTGCCATGAAGGCTCTGAAGAACACTGAGAAATACGAGATAGATGGTAATACTTGCTCTTGTTTCTCCTTCGTAATTTCTAATTTTTGACAATGAGTAAACCATGTATAATGCCGGAGGTTAGGTGGTCTGTACCTGCACTTCTCCCACCACCATGCATTGTCGGGTCAACATCGGGCATGACTTTTTTATTAGCGTAACTATTCTGAATTTCATTTGACAGGTCAAGTTTTGGAGTGCTCTCTTGCAAAGCCACAGGCTGATCAGAAGTCATCTGGTGGACAGAATTCACAGAAATCAGCCTTGCTTCCAAGCTACCCACCTCGTGTTGGTTATGGCTTGGTTGGGGGTGCCGGCTTTGGTGCCCTAGGTGCAGGATATGGTTCACCCTTTGGACAAGTATGATGCCCTTTTTCGCTTGAGAGAATGCATCTGTTTCTTTGCTGCACATTAATTGGTTTTTATGTGTTAACACCTTTCTTTTTCTGCATTATTCATTCTTGCATTTTTTCTAAGAATTTTATCATGATCCTTAGTGGATAATCCATATTTTGGTCAACATATGGTTGGGTTACTCTTAAGGATTTTTAGTTGTCATGCTGCTTAAAAATAAAATGCAAATTCCGTATGGATGTGGAAGTGAATATAATATATACGTATATATTTTTGCAGATGATGATTCAAATTATTTCTTCACTTTGAAACTTATCAAAAAAAATATATACGTATATATTAAGACAACAAGAAAGGCTTAGTTCATGACTAAAATCCTCTTCAGGACTACAGCTTACAGTTTTTTCAGTTTCACATGCTGATATAAATGTCACTGTATTGCAGCCACTGATTTATGGTAGGGGACCTACTCCTGCTGGCATGGCGATGATGCCGATGCTGTTACCTGATGGAAGAATTGGATATGTCCTGTAAGTGTAGCTTGTTTAATTCTGCAGTTTTTTGTAACACACTGGCTTGCTTTGTTTACTACCCTATACGAGGGATCTGCATGGTTGCGCTCATCATTCTGTTTAATAGACTAGGTTTTTTAACCATGCTTGTTTCAATAATATATTTTTTTATACTATTTTAGGCTGCAATAATTATCTGTATTAGTAAAACCAACTTACACGTTACAATTGACAGGAAGAAGCATCAAAGATTTTGAATTTTAATTTTACGGTATTTGAACCCATTCTGTTTTAATATTTCGTTGTATGACTTGCATATTGACATGATTTTCTTTTGTTCTGGGCCAATCCTTTCAAAACCGAATTTTAGTACTCTCTAAGTGTTTTGGGTGTTCTTGAACCGCGGTGAATTTACAAATGTGTATTTCAAAATATTATTTGAACAGCTCAACAACCTTGATGTGTTTGGCTTGCCAGCTAGTATAGCTATACTCTCTTGGATACTAGTCCCTCTACCTTTATACCATTAAAAAATTTATAAGTTCTGGTGTCTTTTACCTTTTAACCAGTAAAAATTTTATAATTTCTGGAGTCTTTTAGCTTTATGCCATTAACAATTTTATAATTTCTGGAGCATGTTGAACACTTACGTGAAGCTGTCTTTCTGTAGGCAACAGCCTGGGGCGCAGCCACACACCCCACCTCCACAGCAGAGAAGTGGCAAAAGTGGTGGTGGTGGTGGAAGCAGCTCAAGTGGTGGAAGACGTGGCAGTGACGGTGGGCGCGGTCGTAGCCGGTATAACCCATATTAATTTAGTCGTATTGCTTGGCTGTGAAATTACTACGGGCAGCACTTCTTAAATTATCAACTCTTTGCTTCCATGGCAATGTTCAATAGTTAGCCCACAGAGCTAACAGCGTTTATGTAAAGCGTTCTTAAATTCTTCCGCTACTTTGTTCTGAAACATATATATTGCGCATTATGCATTTCTGTTCTCGGAGAATGGAAGCCTCAACACAACACAGTACTGATGTTAAAGTCATGCATGAACTTTACGGTGTGAAATTTATTTATTTATTTTCTGTATTTGCTGAAAAAAAAAAAGGCTATTGAAGAAATAATTATTTTTCACCAGTGTGCATGTACGGGTTAGGGGCCACTTATCAAGCTGGTAGAGAAATATTAGCCAACTTGGGTGGGTCCAACACCCAGCTTGAAATCTTGACAATACTGCTCCCATCCTGACTTTTTTTTTTTTTTTTTTTTCCAAATTTTAGGCTCTGTTTGGTGGAGTTTCCAAATTAGAAAATTTCTTTCATTTAAAGGTCTTTGCAAAATGTATTTCAATGGAAGGATTTTAAAAGAAAAAAGCGTTTGGTGGATGCAATTTTGAAATACCTTCAAAAATTAACATATCGTTTTTAAGTAGTTTTATCCTTAATAATTAATCTCAATTTTCTCTCTAAAAGTTGACTTTTTTATCCTTAATAATTAATCTCAATTTTCTCAAACCCTTATCATCACTCCTACTGAAATGATTCCCAGTAAAAATACTGATCCGCGTAACTTTCTTGTGGTGCATAACTTTCAAGCAGTCTATATTTATACACAAACAATAGATTGTAGAGAAAGTGAACCTTGAAATTGAAAGTTTTAGGATCTAGGGATTGAAAGTTTTAGGATGGTGATTACATATTTAACCTCCTAGTGATTTGTAAAGGACTTCCAGGATGATTTGTAAAAAATAAAAAACTGGAGACTAATTATAGTAATGAAATTTGAATGGTAGTAGAAGACTCCGGAGATCTTGTCCAAATAAAAAACTTCTTAAAATAATGGAATTTGAATGGGTGAGGAAGACTTTCTGCTCAAAAATTGTACGATCAATGGGGGCATTATGGCAGCAGTAAAAATCATCGGCACTAAAAAAATTGTTTGTGGGCTTGAATGTTTTTTTTCTCTATTTCTTGAGAAAAGACAGGTTGCAGTTAAATAGACTTTGAGGGTTCATATCGAAATTTTGATATAATAGGTAAGGATAATTGTGTAAAATATAATTTATTACTTAAAATACGGCTAATTTGGCGAGAAGGTTTTTAGTCGAACAGGCTTTCAATGACTTCCAATCCTGGCATAAGTCCTTTACAAATAATCCTGGAAGTCCTTTACAAATCATCTACCAAACACTTGTTTTTTTGTGAAATACCTTTTTGGGTTTGGAAGCCTGTTTTAAAGCACCAAAAAGCCACGCCAAACAGTACCTTGAGCAACTGAGATAAAGAGTAGATAATTACATAGTGGACTTTGGTCAAACAGCCCAAACGAGGGACAAAGGAAGCCTGAAAGAAAACAGGCAAAACTAGGGACAAGCCCAATACAAAATTAATAGTTACAAAACCAATCAAATAACCGTAATTAACGGCGTGATTTGCCGTTAATGGTGGTTATTTGCCCAAGCAACGGTGAAGAACCCTAGCCTATAAGCGAGTGCTGACGACAGATGTGCTTAGTTTGGGGGACGCGGTGGTGGACGACAGTAAGATGGAGAGATGACAATCACTTAGAATTCGTCTTGAGCTTATGCAATCTTTGAGAAATCCTAACCTGAGGATTGAGGTTATTGGAGAGCAAATTCTTGCAAGAACCACCTTGTGCGACGGTTTTTTCTAACAATAGATCCTGTCGTTTCGTTCTTTCGAGTATGGTAAACCATTTAATTGATGGTCATGTTGTGTGTCGGATTATTATCTCTTTGGTGCTGCAAGCCTGCAACCCCGGCTAGAGGGGTTAGTTCTCTAACAGCATCATTCATTGCATGGTTTCTGATTTGGAGGTTGTCTATGCTTTATGTGATTTCAGAATATATAGGGTGGATAATTTTAATTTACCCTTTTGTAGGGAGAAAAAATAATTGAAATTTTAGAGGGGGTGCCTATAAATGGATCATGATGATGCAGAGGATCACCAAGCAATGATGCCCTTTTTATCTAAATAAATATATCTAGGTTCAAATGCAAAAAACACCTTTATAGTGCATATTGCACCCCTTTCGTGTAAAAAACACTCCTAAACTATGACATTTGTTCAAATAGGTCATATTTATAAAAATTGGACTAAAATGCCCTTAGCAACACATTTTATAATATATATATATATAATAATATTTTGTAAAAAGACTAAAAAGGGTTTGTCCATTAAAACCAGTAAGCTACAAGATTGTTCCGGTGCGCAAGGAAAACTCAGTCGGTGGAGACGATTATATATATATATATATATATATACAGATGGGGTCAGAGGAGCCGAGAATCAAGGTGAGTTGATGAAGCAAGGTGGGTTAGTGAAGCGATGGCAGAAAGCAAGGAACTGAATGGAGTGGCTCGCGGCATGATGGCAGCGATGGTGATGGCGTGATAGCAGTAATGAGGTACTGCGGCGGTGAGCTCAGCTGGATGGATCGGCCTCGGATGATGGATGCGGTGAGCTCAGCCGGATGGCTTGCCCGTAAAGAAGAAGCTCGGCTGCAGATGAAGGCGTTTGATTGGTGATTGATTATGGATGGTATATAATAATTCTAGGAGAAACCATAGCATATAACAAGTTACCCATAACCCTAGCTTAGAAAATCAGCTAGAGAAAGAGAATGTGTTTTAGTGAGGAGAGATAGATAGGCAGACAAGAAACAATTGGGGCATGTCCATGCTGTGAAGGGAAAGTGGAGGCAGTAGATGTAGAGAGACAATGGAGGTTTTTACTGTTGGGATTTATATGCCCTGCAAATTTCTAATTGGATTAAAGTGACATATGTTCCTAAGATATCTGAAATATTTATGCTTTATACAATTAGTGAATTCAATATATTATGTTTCGATTCATTATGGAATTGATAGTGTCCACTTGATTACAAGAGATATTTATATATGTATGTGATGTCGATCAATACATGAATATAAATAGTAATCATAAATAGTTCATAATTGGTAATTATGGATTGATTCATTATTAACTAAGACTTGAACTGAATTCGCGTTAGGTTGAGATATATTACGAGAACCGTCGTATGCAATTGCTCCCCATCACCGTCATGGCATTTGACTCTTAAGTATGAGAGAAGTGTAGACTCTTTTATTAATTAGTAATTACTTTGATTTGTTCGGCAAAATCTTCGAAATCCTTAAACTGGAACTTTGGGTAATTATGTAATTAATAGTTAGAGAGTTATATTTTCAATATTTGCATCATTGCTACTTGTATTTATTTTATTGATCACAAAGTAAATTCAAAGGCCTTCGTGTGTTTTTAGACAAAATGATTTATTATATATATATATATTTATTTAAATTATTATTTTTGTCAAATAAATATTTTATTGTGATCAAGCCGGAAATAATCAAAGGTAACACAATAAATATATTAATTAAGTAGTCAGATTGATGGTTTTATTTATCCGATAACTATTATGCATAGAGGGGTCAAATTGCAATATTGACTTAGAGATTATTTATTATTTAATTGGAGTTCAATTAATTTCTTTTAGTGAAGTAGAAATTAATTTATTAATTAATTGAATTGGGTCCATAGACGGGCCAATTATTAATTCACTGTAGTCAAGAAAATAATAAGCCCAAATGATTCTCACTCATAACCCAACTTGATATTGGAATCCTATTAGATTTGAGATATGTGAATTAGAAATTGAGAAGGATTTATTATTTCATTTCCTTATCTTTATGTTGCCTATATATATATTTTATGGGTGATTTTTGGAAGAAAAAAGAATATATTTTCTCTCTCTAGAATTTTAGGATTAGAGTTCTCATCTAATGGAGGCTCCCACAAAGTCATTTATGGAGATTTATGGGTGATTCCTAAAGGTAAGACCATTACCAACAAGATGGAGATCCAAGGAGGAGGCATCTAGGAAAGGGATCTACAATAAGTGAGAACATTCACTTTAGAGAAGAGATCTAAGGTTTACTCAAATTTTGATGTAAGTTTTCTATCTTTAAATTGAATGGATCATCATATTATTTTTGCATAAAACTTGTCTCTATGTGATGAATTAAGATCTATGTATGAAAATCCCTTAGAAAGATTTTAAAACTTGCACGTTTCCCAACATTTATGTATACCCATATGCTGCAACATCAAGAGAAAGTTCTTCTGTACTTCCTGCGCCAAATGTTTAGTCTTGTACTCTTATATATATATATATATATAAGAGATCACTGTGTATCTTAGCTTCTGCTCTAATCTAGGTACAAATTAGATACCCTTATTGTTGGCGGGTTTTCTAATGATTTTAATATATTTTCTTTGCTTTGGATCAGTCCGCATTCGTGACCTTCGAGAGAATCAAATCAACCCGAGCGAAAAAGGAAGAAAAAGAAGAATAAGAAGTAAGGTTTGGTATGGGCATTTTTGAAAAAATAAAAGGGTAAAATAGGTATTATATTAATTGAGGGGTGTTTTTGCACAAATTGAAAAGAATAGGGGTGTTTTTTGCACACCTTTTTATATAAGGGGTAAAAGTGCTATGAAAAGTATACTTAAAGGGGTGTTTTTTGCACTTATCCCATATATCTAAGGTACCGTTTGAGGAGCTTAGCTCAGTTTTAAATGCAATTTGTAATGGAGCAATTTCACGTCTTAAAAAACAAGCAAAAGACCATTTTGATATCATAATTTTAAAAAAATTATACAAAATTGTAATTATATGTTGTAGATAGATGAATTATTTTTTATTAAATTAAAGAAATTTTTTTCGATAAAGTATTTTGCAACTACTTCGTATTTTGTTTCAAAAACTTAAAAGTTTTTACATTCTCGGCAAGTTAATTAAAAAACGACAAACAGACGAGGTCTTTATCCATTGTCTTTCTCATCTCAATCTCAAAGCAAAGCTCCAAGACCAATTTACGATACATATACATACACATACACTAACATAAATTCATAAGTTCAAATAACATAAATTCATAAGTTCAACGATGGTTCACAATTGTAATATAACGGATTCGGATGAATATTGAGATAAATTAGTCGAATCGGTCAGGTGTAATGATATTAGACCCTTAAAAAATAATTATGAACCAATCTATATTATCAATCGATCGTCCAACCAAAGAGTAGTTTTATAATACGTAGAAGGTCAGTTAAAGATAATCTTTAATTAGTCATGTTTTCTAAATATAAAAAAGTGAGGTGCCAATTTTTTATATTTTGCATAAATGGGCAATATTAAGATACCCACTAGTAAAGATGTACGACCGTAACGTAACTAATAAATGAATAAGCGGTTACAGTCCTCTTAATTATCAAAAATGGTGAATTATCATCTTTGATTTGCTCAGGTGCTAAGTGATAACACCATATATAATTAAGGATTAATCACAACGATACCCTCTGAGGTTTAACATAATGACAGCGATATATAAGTTGGGCCATTTTTGAACGATGACACCCCTTTAGATTTGATAAAGTTAACAAAGACACCCCAATGGTCCTGAATTGACATTATTACCCTTGACACATTCAATTACCAATTTATCCAATATAATTATTTTTTTATTGATCAAAATACCCCAACATAGCCACCACAGCAACCATTATTGCCATTGTTACATTCAATTACCAATTTCTCTCCCAGCACCATAGCCACCGCCGCTGCCACGGCACTAACCGCCAACATGAGGCTCCACCTGCATTGTAACCAGCTCCACCGTCACTTCCACAAACCACCACCATCGTTATGCATCGGCACTCGAACAAAATGTACCATTGGTCGTTGATGCCCAGTTTAGGCAAGTGTTGATAAGCAAATTGTGGCAGGTGGATCCAACAACTGATAGTTCTTCAAGCAATAAGTTTCTATTGGCCCATTGTATAAACACACACACACTTTCAAATGGATCGAAGACCATCTTACAAATTAACGATGTGATTAATGGTGAAACAATATAGGGCAACCTATATACAATTGAGGCAGTATTCAAGAGCATGCTGGTAAAAATTGGAACCGCAAAAATTAACACTGACAATGAAAAAAATCCCAACTAAAACAAAATTAAATAAATACAAAAAGAACTAACATGAGAAGAAAGAAAGGGTTTTTTTAAACTAACAAAAATTAATCCACCCAAGTGAGAGTATGTTTGAAATGTTGTTTCAAGCCTTAGATGCCGAATTGCCCCAAAATCGCAATAGAAGGCCGAATTGCCTCAAAAATGGAACAGGGCTTGTCTCGAAATAGTCGCCAACGAAATTGCTATCCAAACACGCCGTTGTCATCCCAGATTCTTCCGAATTCATCGACGGAGTCCCCAGTCGCGTCTTCTCCGTTAGCTTGGCCGGAAACCCCGTTGTCAGACTGAGATTGAGATTGAAGAGCTCCAATTTCGAGAAATCGTCAGAGCGTCTCCGTTTTGGCGCCTTCGATCGTGATGTCGGAGTTAGATCTTGAAGCTTAAACACGTTGAAACTCGTGTTGTCGTTGGATTCGGACGAAAGCAAACCTCCATCGTTGCCACCGAGGAGCTTCAGAATCGGCCGCAAAATGCCGTCGCGGAGGACGGTTTCCACTGCCTCCTGGCACACGTAGTGGGTGGAGAGAGATTGGGGACTTAGGTGTAGCACTGTAGTGGAGAGAGGTTGGGGAATTGGGTGTGTGGGGGTGGCGTCGATGAGGGCGGCGGTGGCTGCTGCTCTCTCTTCCCGCTGCTCTTCCACACATACACACACACACACACACACATATATATGAGTATATAATGTATATATATAAGGGCAAATTTGACTTTTCATAAGTTATGATATTTTATAACAAAAATAAATTAAATATTGAAAGGCAATCTCATATTTTTAATGTTTTAAGGACTTGTTTTGATCAAAATTATCACAAAGGTTTCCTCCTTCAAAAAATACCTAAATTGTATATGGTTGTCAATATGTCAAACGGGACTGTTGTTGTAATTAACACTATAATTTAAAAATGACTTATTCAAGAATGGTCAGACCCGGTACAGATTTTTGGAGGTCATCTTTAAATCCCGATTTACGGGGCCTCTTCTACTTTTCCCGGTTCCCAAACAGCTTCTGACACAAATTGTTTGCTCTCTCTCTCTCTCTCTCTCTCTCACAAAGTGGCTGGTTTTTCCGTCGCCGATCAATTCTTCACCGTCGATCGACATTGTTTGGTGTCCTCTCCTGTTGCTTCTCCAGGTAAGTCTCTCTTCATCTGGCGCTGCATATAAAACGGAACCATGGACAATAAGCAAATGAAGATTGAAACATAGGGACATTATTAGGGTTTTAGACAAGTGCATTGATATGATCAAGTTCTGAGGAACATACCACAATATTCTCTCGGCAGTCTCTTCTTCTTTGGAAACCCCAAATTCACTATATCACACACAAACTCATCCGCACACTCGAATTTGGTGTGTAGCTCCAGAGGCTTTTGATGTGTTGCATGCCTTTGAGATATTATTAACTCTGTTTAGTATGTTAGTATATATTGGAACGAAACGAATGTCCATGGTGAAGCTAGTGAAATTAGTTTGCATGTTTGGTTCATAATTTTGTAATTGTCCTGTTATGCTGGGGCGAATTTGGTGATTGGGCTAGATAAGTTTTCTTTATGAAATTCTAAATATTGTAAACTTGATTTGTCTATGAGGTTTGCTGATTGTTTTCTGTTCTACAGGTTGTTGAACAAAATCTAAATTTTAGTTTCTTAATTTTTATCTCTACAAGGCAAGATAAATTTATGTAGTTTTGAAATGTATTGAGTATTGAATATTTATCACTTGGTGATTATGTCATCTTCTACGTCTTGATTTAGTCTTAGCCACTCAATCCCTGCATGATGAAGCTGGCTCTTGCCGAGTTGGGACATGGGAAACAAAGGGTTTGGTGTGATAATGTTACACTTGATCTAAAAATAATAATATTTTCACCCATCGGAAAGATAATATTATTATTTCTTTAGATAGGCCAAAGGCAAGTTAGGAGTCATCTACTAAATTCATTTGGCTCTAAATCCTGAGAGCCTTATATGTAGCATTTTGGTGTGTATGAATGATTGCAGCTGAGTCTAGAGTTAGTGACCAATACTGTGAGGTTGAACCATATTGTCTGTATTCGCCCCTCCCCTTTTTTGTTGCATCAAATGCCTCAAATTTGAGATGAATGCTAACTTTTGCATCAATTATCCGTGGTTTAGTCATATTTTATTTATTTTCTTTAAAAACTGCTTCAATATAAATCTCATCTACTTATTAGATGTCATCTTGTGTACTTCACTTTTTAAATTTTTTTTTCCCTATCCTCTAGGTGATGATGGATGGAGCTATAATATTTAAATTACAGAGCTTAAGGGAAAGTGAGAGTGTAAAAGCAACCAGAAAGAAAAATGGAAAAAAGTAAAGTCTTACATGACATGGTCTCAAATGAATAACAGTGTCAATATCAGTGTGAAATAAATTAATCCGTAGGGGCTTTATGTTATGATTATCAGGGTTCATTTGAGAATGAAATAAAAGTGAACAGTGATAATATATGATAAATTATGCAAAGCATAAAATAGAATGAAGCATAATTGTTGTTCTATGAATTTACATGCAAAGGAAGAGAACTACACAGTAATAACAGAGGGGGGATGAATAGAAAAGAAAAATGGGGAATTCACATGTAACGTGAAGCCCTAATCCACCATCTTTATTTTCTTTTTATAATCTTCTTCTTCCAACAACAAAACCTCCAAATTATTTCTAAATAGCATTTAGATGCAAATTTTTAAGTAAATAAGTGTTGGATCACAAGTTTAAAGCTTGGGAATTTCCAAATAACCATGTTTTAGTAAAGGAATCAGTATGTAGATAGAATTTGCGAAACTTAGTATTTAACCCACAGATTCAGTTAAACCAATCCACAGATCGATGGACGCCGAGTCATGCTGAGAGAATGGTACTCCATTTAGACAAATCATCTAAGTTTTTTTGTTTTGTTTTGTTTTTTTTTTTTTTTATCATCACAAATCATCTAAGTAAGTGTAGTATATAATCATTTGCTTCAGGCTGATTGTTGTTTCAGAAGTATGGGTATTCTGGAGAGGTGGATAATTATTAGTGCAATAGACATGGATTGTTATATCAATATTATACATGTCTGATAAATTGTAGAATGTTGGGATTTAGATGACCTTGATCTTGGTAAGCTATATAAGAAATATACGTGCTTGCTTTTGAACACGTTTTTGGGCTTTTTATATATTTAGTTTGATATTTGTTTTGTGCTATTCTGTAGGGTAGCAATTAGTTGTTTGATTGCCTTCTAATGGGTGCCAGTTCCTGCTGTGACTCTGAGGGGCTTCTAAGATTTTGAATCATAAGCCTAGTTGTATAATTTTTGGTCTAAGATGTTGTCATGTTCAAATGAACTATTGACCCACCACAATCATCAGAATGCTGTCGCTGCTGATGCAAGCTTGTCCAAATGCGGTGAAAGCCATTTGGAACACGAGGACGAAGAAGAGGACGAGGATGGGGACGAAGAAGAGGATGTAGACTTCTATCCCATTTTTAAAGCTACCCCATCTATGGAAGCTTCTTCAAGCTTGAGCTTTGAAGTTGAAGGTCTAGATGTTGATGTTGTTGGCAGTGGGGAAAACACTCGCAGGGATTTGGTTACTAATTTGTTGTCAAAGCCACCTTCTCAAATCCAAGACTATGCTGCTGGAGATTCCAAGCATGGCGAGGAGATTGTGTTGCAAACTGCCGTTTCTTCTGGAGGAGCATGTGAAAAAGAATCAGAAAAATCATCTCCCACAGGCATAAGGAAGAGAAAATCAGATTCTTGGAGCTGTCAGCCTGAAAATGAAACATTTTGTGGAGAAGAAAATGGATCAAACAGTGGAGCAGAAGCGGTTAATGATATGACTGGAGAGTGTGGCAGACATTCTAGGAGGCTCATTATGGATATAGATGATGAGGATGCTATATGCATGCGCACTAGAGCTCGCTATTCACTTGCCAGTTTTACGCTTGATGAACTTGAGACTTTTCTTCAAGAAACGGATGATGATGATGATCTTCAGAATGTCGACGATGAAGAAGAATACAGGAAATTTCTTGCTGCTGTTTTACTGGGTGGAGGTGGAGACAGTCAGACAATTCAAGAAAATGAAAATGTTGATGATGAAGATGAAGACAATGATGCGGACTTTGAAATAGAAATTGAAGAGGCACTTGAGAGTGACTTCGATGAAAATACAGGTGGTGAGAAGCAAGTAAAGGAGCACGAGGCAGCTGGTCGACGACCTGAGACTAGGCAAAACAGACGCCAAAGATCTTCTGCCCAATATAAAAAAAGGCTGCTCAAGCAAACAAATAGGCCATTGCGCCCCCTCTTACCAAATGTAGCAATTGTACCTTTCCCAGTTCACGATGGAAAAAATATGGAGACTTCTTCAAATTGTCTGTCATCATCAGCACATAATGGTTTAATAAATGGTTTTACTCCACATCAGTTGGGCCAGTTGTATTGTTTAGTACACGAGCATCTACAACTTCTTATTCAGGTGTTTTCTCTTTGTATTTTTGACCCTTCTCACCAGTGCATTGCTTCCCAAGCTCAGGAATTGATTTCAGAGATGCTTCATAGACGTGATAAAGTATTATCAGGAAGAAGGGTACCCTATCCCAGTTTTTGTTTTTGCCCTCCTTACATTCATCCATCAGTGCCAGACGAACCCTTCAAATCTTTGACAGCACAGAGCACCTCTGGATCATCTTGTACCTTGGAAGCACAGAGATATTGTTCTTCTGGAAAGAACAGAGTGTTACCTTCTGATGTGATTTCCCCTTTAAAAGAAGGAAGTGTACATGTTTTTAACAGGGAGGAGGGTCACTTTCAAACTACTGAGTGCTCTTTCTGGGTTCCTTTAATAAAGGGTCCTGTACTTTCTGTTCTGGATGCTGCTCCACTTAATTTAGTTGGAAAATATATAGATGATGTTTCTACTGGTATGCCATATATGTGGAATTAAAAGTTCATTGTGTTTCTGCAGCTACTTGGTTGTTCATGCTAATAACCTTTATATGCTTGACCATTTGTGTTGGTTTGTTGACAGCTGTGCAGGAGTATCAACATCGACAAATGGAAGCTACTTGTGATCCACGTCTTCAAAGGGAGCCCTTGTTTTCCCTTCCCAGTTTTCAGTCATCCACCGAAGCTAATGGTGAAGTACGAGGAACCACTTCCCCAGCTGCCAACCCGGCGCCGCCTTCGCCAGCTAGTGATCTACCACCTAAGAAGACATTGGCTGCTGCACTTGTTGAAAGGACTAAAAAGCAATCAGTTGCTGTAGTCCCTAGAGAAATTGCCAAGTTAGCTCTGAGATTTTTTCCACTGTTTAATCCAGCCTTATTTCCGCACAAGCCACCTCTTGCATCTGTCGTGAACCGGGTGCTTTTCACTGATTCAGAAGACGAGTGAGTTATGCACTTACTTGACCCATGTAAATGTTCTTCCTAATGATTGCTTTCACTTTTTATTCCCTTTGACAATATGATCTAGTAACCATTGGCTGCAAATCATACCTCTAATTTCCCAGCTTTGCTAGAACTGAAACTGGATTGCTATGTGATGTACTTTGATCCCATAGGCAGTGCATATCTTTATTATGAACTTTATGCGGCAAATCATACCTAACTTTTTCAATTTTTTTCCTTTGTTTTTTTTTTGGGGGGGCGCGCGCGCGCGCTGGGGGATTTCTGCAATAAGGTGTGATAATAATTGCTTCAAAAAGTGAACACCTTTGTGATTGTTGATTTGAATGAAAAGGAAATCGCAACCTACGTGGAGACCTCAACTTAACAAAATCTTGTCCCAACTACTTGGGGTCGACTATATGAATCTTATATATTCATTCCACTTTATCTCGGGCCATAGCCTCAGTCAAAGCACATGATGCTATATTTTTTAACTTTATCCATGTTAATTTTGGTCTTTCCCTTGCCTTAGCATTACCCTCAATGTAGACCATGTCTCTCTTCTTACGTGGTGCAGTTTGTTCTCTTCTTTGCACATGTCCATAACATCTTAATCAATTTCTCTCATTTTATCTCCAATTGGTGCTACTTTAACCATGTCAAAAATGTATTCAAGATTGGGTTCAGTAGGGAAAGAGAGGGGCAAAGGGCAAACCTAGTGCACGAGGCTCCCGCCATTGTGGAATTTGGGGAGAGTTAGATTTATCCGCATGCGGAGAGGTTGTTTCCTTGTTTAGAACCTGTGACCTCCAGGTCACAATGGCGCAACGGTAAGTTGCGCCAAGGCTCGCTTCAGTAGGGAAAGAGACTCATGTTTAAAAGCTATGTCGTGGAATAAAGATTATTGAGTTGAGTTGAACATAGAAAACCATATCGAAGATCATGTACCCTTGAACTAATGTCGGCCTTGATCTCTGTCTTTCTTTGTTATAGTTATGTAAGAAAGGCAACAGACTAATTGGAAAAGGACTTGCTATTCATTTCTTACTTTGTTTTGACTTTGGTGGACTTTATTGGATGTAAGGTTTGCCCTGGTGGTAAGAGTCCTTCAGGGTGGATGGATTCAGTATGTGCACTTTGGAGTTTTTTGGTTTTTTGTTTTGGTCCTCACACCTATGGGGATTTAAAACCTTAACTTTCTATTTGTGAGGTAGAGGATATACCATTGGGTTACAAGCTTTGCTTGGTTGCACTTTGGAGTGTTTTGTGGAGTAGGATATGGTTGTTGAGGATACAGGGATATACATTGAAAGAAAGCGATAGCTAAATACTTTTCATTTGTGTCGGCTTCTTAAAGTCTCATATATTCTAGGTTATTGGAGTTGTATAGGGGTCTAGTTCCAGCCTTCATAGCTCCTGTATACTTCGCATGTCTAAGGGTTGTGTTTCCTGTGTGTTTTTATCTATAAAACAATCACTTGTCAAAATATATGACTTGTTACACTTTGGTTTGCTGGTATCAATATGATGGAACTTGTATTAGTTGAACTTTATATTAGGGTGGAATCTTTTGTCAGTATCAGGTTCTGATTTTGCATGTTGTTGGGAATGCTAATGAATGGGCCTTATTTTAAAGTTATATATAATGATAGGTTCTAAGTCCTTGTATACTTGAAGAGTTGGAGGAATAGTGGTACCTCTTAAATCAATATTGTTTGATTCTCTGCCTTCATCATAGAGGGAACATATGTCTAGAATGAAGAAAGCTCTATGCCAAATGTCTGAAATCATCTGTTTCCTTGCAGTAATCAGTTTAATATATGGTGTTTAGCTTCATGATGGGGTGTTGTCATATTGATCTGTCAAAAATGGTCATGTTTAATCAACTGTCTTCCGGTGAAATTTTCAAGGAATCAAACTTTTTTATTATTATTTTGAACAACAGTTCTACCTGTCTTTTGATCCTGTAAGTTGCCTTATAGGATAGACATTATGATGCATGTGCACTTTCCTTCATTGTTTTCGTGGCCATAATGAGGGTTAATTCCAATTTCTAACCTTCTTTGGCAGTAATCTGTACTTCTATTTCTTGTTTGGTTGGAATGCCCATTGTCCATGGAAGGTTACCTTTTTGATTTTGAGATTGCATTGCAGGTTATTAGCATTGGGGTTGATGGAATATAATACAGACTGGAAAGCAATTCAGCAACGGTTTCTTCCTTGCAAATCTAAGCATCAGGTAATTTCCTTGTGGATTTGCCATTTCAAGTACTACATATCATGTTTTTTGTTGTTTGAAGTTCCTTTGTTTTCAGTTTGAAAAAAATCCCTTTTTAAAATTTAAAAAAACTGTCAATTGTATGATAATTCTTTTTTATGGTTTAATAGCTATTCTGTATGCTTGATTCCTCTTCTTTCGCCCCCTACCATTATGAGCTTTTGTTTTAATTGGGGAAGGAATGGTGGAAACCTAAATTTTGGCAGAGTATGAAAGTTAAAAAAACTTATTGTAGTCTCAAATCTGCTTTTGGACTGGAGTACTCCTATTCACTCCAGAAATAGAACTTTTCCTATATGCCGTGACATTTGATACAATCTACACAACAACAACCAAGCCTTTTTCCAATTACTTGGGGTCGGCTACATGAATCCTATGTTTCCATTTCGTTCTATTTAAGGCCATAGCTTCAATCAATCCACATGCTATCATATCTTTCATTTGATACAATCTATGGATTTGCATAATTCAGCAAGTCATTTTTCATGTCTGTGCATCAACGTTTTTTGTTTTGTTTTTGTTTTTTATACAATCTATGGATTTGCATAATTCAGCAAGTCATTTATCATGTATAGGATGAATTGCATCAATGTTTTTTCTCTCTCTATTTACTTGGTTTTTGGGAATGGAAGTGATGTAGACACAGAGTATGTTATTTCATCAGCTTTAATATGGTGATTTATATGATGTGTTAATTTTGTTACAGATTTTTGTTCGGCAGAAAAACCGTTCATCTTCTAAAGCTCCTGAAAATCCAATAAAGGTATGTAACATCCTAGAGCTTTTTTCTATAATATCTTGATTCATTTCTACTCATTCTGATTGATGAACTAAGTTGTAGTCTCATCTCTCCCCCTCCCAGGCCCCTGTTGCACAATTTGATGCACGAGAACTTGCCAAAATTCCATTGTACCTGGTAGTGATTACTTGGACATCATTAGTTTGATTGGTTTGCTCTGTAATACCTCTAACTACTCCAAAGCAAATGGTCCAGTGAAATTCTAGGGGCTTGAATGGTAAAATACATCAATTAATTTGATATTGTAATCAAATTCCTTGCAAGAGATGGCCTGTGGATTACCAATGGGCCATTAGCCTAACCTCCCTACCCTCGTAGAGGAGGGGAGGGGTTCGAGCGCCAGTGTGGACAATGTGTGTGTGAGTACTTACTTGATAAAAAATAAAATAAAATAAAAAGAAGAAAGAAGAGATAGCCTATGGATTATGTTTATTGATATATAGGTAGAACATGTGTGCAAAGTTGGACATTGATTTATGTACACAACAGACGTTTTGAGGAAAGCCATTTAGCGAATGCCACATTACCTGCTATGAATCAAACACGTGCTCACCAAGTAACCAACCGTTAAAAGCAACTTTTAAAATCATAAGAACTTTGATTTTGGATTTTGTTTAAAAAAACACGGAACTCTTTAGTTCAGATTTGCTTACAAAGTAGGCATGTCTACTTCTATAACTATTTCATTCTGCTCTTCAAATTGAATCGTTTCTTATGATTTTAAGTGTTGCTTTGTGCTTTTTGTATCTCATAGAGATACATAGCCTACCAAGACAAAAAGGGAGCTAAATCCTCAATGTGGACCTAGGGGTTTGCAGATAATACTTATGTCATTAATTTACTACTCTTCACTACTAGAAGTTATAATACTGTTTGCTTCTTCATGCAGGCAGTTCGGAGGATGAAAAACTCTCCCTTGACTGCAGAAGAGATGGCACAGATTCAGGAGGTCCTCTTTCTTTTCTTTTCCCTTTTTCTTTAGTAAAGTGATTTCAAGAGGTCATTTTATTTTATATTCTTTTTGTCCATTTATTTCACAAATCAGTCATGTGATGCATTGCTGTCTTACTCAATCATCTGACTTAAATAACCCAGGGATTAAAGGTTTTTAAACTTGACTGGATGTCTGTATGGAAATTCACTGTCCCATATAGAGATCCATCCTTGCTACCCCGGCAGTGGCGCGTTGCTACTGGAACCCAAAAGACATATAAATCAAATGTGGAAAAAAAAGAGAAGCGGCGGTTATATGCATTACATAGAAGAAAGTGCAAATCTGCAGCTTCGGCAAATTGGCAAACTTCATCTGAAAAAGAGGTATGTTTATTTCTTAATTGTCTGAATGGTTCATATGATATATAATGGTAATTTACATGCAGGATTGCAATCCTTTAACCCTTTTAGTAATCTCTGTGGCGCTTCAACAACCTGAATTTTGCCAAGATTTTGTTTTGGCGTGAGCTTGGCATTTTGTAGGCGGAATTGAGCTTAGTTTGTCATCTCTTGCTATGATTCCAGATGTGCTGAATGGGATTAAACCTACTATATTTATTTTTGAAATGATCAGACTTGCCTTACAGAGGCAAACCAATCTCTACACTTCATCTCATTATTAGAGATCATATTTTCAAACTCAATGAAGCAGTTCATATTTTCGAAGCCCAAAATATTGAAGACTAACTTACCAAATGTATTGGTTTTTTTTTCTTTGATTATGAGATGTCATTGAATGATTTGTAATTAGCTATTATGTATATATGTGCGCATGTCCTACACGAAATTCTACACTTCCGTTGAGATATCTAAATTTAGCCAGAGAATGGCTATGCCCATGATCCGTATAATCAAGACTATTCCAGGCTTATTGGCAGTGTGATGGATGTTTTTTTCTCACAAACAACAAATTTTAACCTCTTTTTAATTGATACAGGACTGTCATACTGATAATGCTGGTGGAGAAAATAATAGTGGAGATGATTGTATGGATAACAAAGATGAAGCTTATGTTCACGAGGCATTTTTGGCAGATTGGAGACCAGATACTTCTTCTAAACTTCCTGTCTGGAATGTTAGGGAAAATAATCCACCCAGTGATTTGCCGTCGCAAGAGGGTTCTCGTGTCTGGGAACAAACCTTTAATAGTGGGTCCATAGGATCTCATGCGCAAAGTGATCAGGAATTTCATTATGGAAATAATTACTCTCAGAATCTCCATAATTTATCTCGTTTTGCTCATGCTAGACATTGTGCAACTTCCTATGGGTTGTCTCACCCAATTTCTGATATGAATTTGAGGTCCTCCAAGTCCCAATTATATATGCGGCCATATCGTGCTCGTAGAGCAAATAGTGCTCGTTTAGTGAAATTGGCTCCAGACTTGCCTCCTATAAATCTTCCACGATCTGTCCGCGTAATGTCTCAGTCAGCTTTCAAAAGCTATCAGGGTGAAGTATCTACTAAGATTTCTGCTGTTGATGCCGGAAATGGTGATGCTGCAACAGAAAATCTAGTTGGGAAACTAACTTATGTTGCAGTGTCTGGAACCAGCCATCTAACAAAAGCCAGAGAGAACAAAAATAATTCACTGATAAATTATAGCGGTAATCTGCATCCACAAGAATCTGGAATCATCAGGGATAAATGTATTGCAGTAGAAAAATACGACTTAGATCTACAAATGCATCCTTTGCTGTTCCAGGCCTCTCAAGAAGCGCGTCTGCCATGTTACCCTTTGAGCTGCAATAATAATACTTGTAGTTCTTTCAATTTATTTTCAGGAAATCAGCCCCAATTGAATCTCAGTCTGTTTCATAATCCTCCCCAAGCAAACCATACGGTTAACTTTTTTCATAAATCTTCAAAGGAAACTACTTCCTCATCATGTAATATTGACTTCCATCCACTTCTGCAAAGAGCTGATGATGTAAATAGTGACTTAGTAGTTGTAGATGCACCTGCCCATCTGTCTGATAATTTTGATTCATTAAGAGGCAACTGTGTTCAGCTTCATAATTCATCTGATGCAGTTCGAACTGAGTCACAGGTCAGTAGCTGTCCAACAGTTACCTCGACTAAACCCTCTAGTCCTAGTGGAAAGGCTAATGAACTGGATTTGGAGATTCACCTAAGTTTTGCGTCCAGAAAGGAGAAAGTGATGGGAAGTAGAGATGTTATCAAGGATAATCAAATGAGGCCAATCTTAAGTGCTGCGGATTCTGGAATTATTATGGAAACTCAAAACAAGCTAGCTTCTATTCCAGATGGAATAAGCAGCAAGGTTGATTCAAGTGCCCACGCATTGGTTATGTCAAGTAATAACATAAACAGATATGATGTCAGTAAAGGAAATGATCTGTCTCTTCCAGAAATTGTGATGGACCAGGAAGAGTTAAGTGACTCTGAGGAAGAAGTTGAAGAGCATGTAGAGTTTGAGTGTGAGGAAATGGATGACTCTGAAGGTGAGGAGGGATCTGAGTCCGAGCAGATTGTTGACTTGGAAAATAAGGTATGCCTCTGTAACTTTTAATTTTTTATTTGTATTCAAATGCTTTTGAATTGTGAGATGCATGTTCTCCGTCCTGATATCTAATCCATATATGTTACAAGTTCATTATGCCCTGGTTGGTTATATTGTTTTCTATTTTATGTATAATGGCTGTAATTCCTCATAATAACTTCTATTTTCTACATTGTGATTATAGCCAGCTTGGTTTTTTTTATCAATCTTTAGAAGGATCTTCTACTATTTGGTTCTCAATTAATAATATTTCGAATTCCAGATGATGCAGCATTACATTTTATTCCTTTGAATTTGACCAGCTTATTGTTTAATTGCATTAATGCGACTTCTTTAATTTAAAAAAAGCACCCTTTTCCTTTCTTCCTAGAATTCCATATAGTATCAACCCTGGGGATTATTGCGGCGTGTGTTTGTTTTTTTTCTTTTTCTTTTTTCCTAGTTGGTAGCAGGAATCGATCCTGAGACTTGATGCTTCATGAGACACCAGGCCCAATTCTTTTCCAACTAGGCCAACCCCTTGGGGTTTATTGTGGTGTTTGTTTTTGCATATGCTCTTTGATAACAAGATTATGCACATGTAATATTGTTCAATTCACTCCCTTGACTAAGCTTGTTTATAGCATGTTCTATTACCATAGTCCGTATCTTGTGGCATGTGTAGTCTTTCATCCACTAGGGGCAAACAGTATTAACTTTGTTTAATGGGGGCTGCTATAAGTTTATCTTATTTTTGTATTTTATATGTAGTTATTTACTTTATTTTTATTTATGATTTTATTGTTATTAGGAGGTCCCATATGCAACTGTGGAGGAAGTTGCGGCAGATGCAGATTTTGATAATCAACAATGTAAAACAGGGAACCATAGTAATTGGCAAGGCAATGTTTGTGGGCCCTCGGAAGCTAGCACTCTCAAGTTGGATTTGACAGAGGAAGGGAAAGATAAACTGAGTAGTTCTTTATGCTTGAGTTTGAATTCATGTGCTCCAGGTTGTCCTCCAGATAACAAGACCAAGCCAAAGAGTGTAGAAAGTAGAAACACGGAAGGGTCGGGTGGGAAGAATTGGATGTCAGCACGTCCAAATAGATCATGCAAGAAGACAATGGCAAGTAGAAAAGATTTTAGATCACAGAAAGAGGCTGGGAACATGCCACAAAAGCTTGAGCTGGGTCCACTTCTTGTTGACCCATTGAAGAAACCCAGGAAGCGTGCATGTAGAACTAACTCTAGTTTCAATATGGGTTGAGTCGAAAGAGTTGCATGTAGAACCAACTATAGTTTCAACATGGGTTGAGAGTCGAAAGAGATTCAAGTTTAAATAGAGTTGGGACCGTAGACAGCTCCAACCATGGTTGCAGTTGGAATGAGTTGGGTTGGTTGTGGCTCTGTTGGGAAATAATGCTGTTGGATGTGAGTTACCTTGCAAGTGACAGACTGGGGCATCAATCTCAGGTACATTTGGAGGTTGAGAAAAAGTGATCTTCTCAACTAATCTACCTGCTAACAAGGCTGCATGGAGACTGGTCCCTTCTTTGTTAATAGGATTTGATTTTGGCAAATGGGATGAGAGAAAGTTATTGTTTTTAATTTATTCACTCATGTTCCTCTAATGGAAGGGTTCTTCTGTACAGTCGTTGACTTGTATATATAGAGTGCATTGCTATCTTTTAGGCAGGGGCAATGTACCACGTAGAGAAAACCAATTGGGAAACAAAATTGCAGTGTTGTGGTGCTAGCAAAATTGTCGACAAGCCAAACAATTTGGCTGCTGGTAGTTAACAACTGGAATGAGGAGGATGGTTGCGTACTTTCACGACGAACTGTTTCAAGTCTCGAACCTCCCAAAGTATGTCGCGTGCCATTTATTTAATTTTTAACTGTTAGGAGTGCTAGCAGCAACAACTGTTCTGATTTTATTTTATTCTTATTTTGCAGTTGTTGTGATTGAAGGAAAGTGTACGATAGTGGCAGTCATATTAAAAAATGGTAGTGATTGACTGTCATCATGTTGTGTGTTGGATTATTGTCTCTTTGGTGCGACCCTAGCACGATGTGTTAGTTCTGTAAATTGTTTCTGATTTGGAAGTTGTTTATGCTTTATGTGATTTCAGAATACATAGGGGGGACGTGTTAACAGGATTATGTAATAATTTCTTCCGTTTGAGGAGCTTAGCTCAGTTTTAAATCAAGAATATGGTTTAATTAAACTTTCTCCGAACCCGATTGAACAAGTCCTTCCCCTGCTCAAATGGGAAGGTTATACAATTGGGCTAGATACCCTCTTGTAACGCCCAACAAAATTCAAAACAAGCTCAGAAGGCACAAAGGAAAGCAACAGATACAAAGGCCCAACAAGTAGTAGTTAAAAGAAACATACATAATTCCAAATTATTGCAACAGAAGCATCATTTCTATAGCAAGGACCAATCTTGCCAATACAGGCATAACAAGAGGACAAGCCCTAACCAACAAACCACTCGATCATTTGGATACAACTGAAGCCAAAAAGATGGAACAAAAAATGCAAGACCAGAACCCCTATATGCACAAAAAAAACAGCATTCAAATTAAAGGTCGGAAAGCATGTGTCTTGATCACTTGTTAGTTGTTTTTGGGTGGATAGCGGAGGATGTATGGAAAGATATGATGGATGAGGGAATTGGGGAAGGAGAGCGGAAGAAATACTAACTATCCAAAGACGGAGGAGGGAGAGTGAAGCAATGATTAGAACAAGAGTGGCAAACCAAGTTACATCACTCACTACCAGAGAAAATGGGTGCCATTGAAAGAGATATTCCCAACAACGGAATTGCCAATTTGAGGGAACAAACGTAGATCGTTCAGCATTGCCCAAATGAGTAGGATGATGGTACTATACATAACAATGGTGTTACTTAATATAAAAATATGAAACATATGTTTTATAACCCATGCCTGCTTGGTGTGAATGATCATGATCATCAGAACTATCTGTCTATGAGCAGAGAATTTAGTTTAACCCGCTTGGCCAAATGCAATTGAGTGTCTTGATCTGTTTGATTGATGAACAATGCAGGTCGGGGTTTTTAAGCAGATAAGAGACTACGTTGGCTATGCCCTTCTTAGCAGCCACATGAAGAATATTTTGACCATCGTAGTCGAGCAACTCCTTTGAATGGGGGCAAAGTTTGAGAAACTCCTTGATAATATTGACATGGCCGACCTCTCTTGGATGCCCAATGAAAGGGAAATGAGCCATCCCCATCCCCATCCCGGTCTCTTATGTATATATGCAGCAGTTGTATATCTACATTCGCCCAAGAAGTAGCGAACGCCCTCAGTGTAATTTGTTGCTGATGCATAGGAAAGAGGAGACCTCCCTTTTCCATCATATGCACATAAGTATGTTAATTGCCCATTCAACACAGCATTTAGGACATCTGGTATTTATTTTTGGTAAAAAACACAATTTATGAGTATCATATATTTACCCTTAAATAGTAATATATATATATATATACACACCTGTGTTTCTTGCTTTGATGGCAGCGTGCACAACTGACCTGCCTTCTAGGTTTCTTACGTCAGCTGGTCCAATATTCTGCATCATAAACTGAACAAGCTGTAGATGCCCTTTTTCAGCAGCCATGAACAGTGGGGACATATAATCGGCATTTGGACGTGTGCACACTTGTGGGTTCTCCTCAAGTAGACCATAGCCATATGGTAGGGACTATTTTTTATGGCCACATGCAATGCAGTATTCTTGTTCGAATTTTGGTCGACGAGCATTTCAGGATTAAAAATTCCAAGCTGTTTGACGTGATGAAGCAGAGAGTTGAGTGTAGAGTCATTCCCATCATCTGCAGCCCTCGGGAATTCCTAGTCCTGAACAGCCGAGCTGTTTATGTCCTAAACTAGCGGCAATTCAGGTGACAATTCGGCATCCAAAGGCTTGAAACAACATTTCAAACGTACTCTCCATCACTTGGGTTGATTCATTTTGTTAGCTTTCTTTCTTCCCATGTCTATTTTTTTGGATTTTGTTCACTGACAGTATTCTTCCGTTTCAGTTTGGAGTTTTTTCATTGTCAGTGTTAATTTTTGAGGTTTCAATTTTTACCAGCATGCTCTTTCATACTGCCTCAATTGTGTATAGGTTGTCCTGTATCGTTTCACCACTAATCACATCCTTAATTTGTAAGACGGTCTTATACAATGGGCCATGGATCAGAAACTTAGTGCTTGAAGAATTATCAGTTGTTGGATCCACCTGCCACAATTTGCTTCTCATGAGTATATATATATATATATATATATATCCAGAGCTAAATTTGCTGGTGAGTAACACTCATATATATATATATTTATTTAAAGTTCTGATCTTCATTTGAATTGTCTCTCAATTCAGGTTTGAGGTGTTTTTTATTTGTTTGGTTGAAAATGGTGTTTGGAAAGGTTATGTGAGGGATGAAACCATGGTGTTCTTGATTCTGAATTTTTATTTTATTCTTTTTAAAATTTTTGTAAGGCTACAAGTATTCGTCTTTCCCATTTCGAACCAACAACATTAACATCATAAGTTTTTGGCAAAAAAAAAACTCCATTATTGTAAGTTAAAATTCAAGGCAAAACCAGCATGTAAGAATTGTCTAGTATGACGATTTTGAACTGGTTGGTTCAATTTTGTATATACACATATAAATATACATAAATGAGATATAATAGCATCAGCCGAGGTCTTTGCAAAAATGTGCTAAAAAAATGATTTAAGTTTCATCCGATTGTTATTTATTTTTAATTTATGTATTTTTTTAGCATCGTCACCATGAGGTTTGAACCATTTTTTGACAATAAATTTGTTAGAAGGTTCTCGACGAGCTCCTCTTCTCTGTCGGGGGAGTTTTATTTTTAAAATTAATCTGATCCTTAAGTTTAGTTGTGGAATTTAAAATACAAAATAAAAATTAGACCCTTGTTCTGGTCATCGCTAACCAGATCCCATCACTATCGTTGGACCTGTATTCAATTTTTCAAAACCTAATGAAACATAAACCTTGAAAACTTTAAATAAAATAAAAATCATATATGGTTGTTCCAATGTCTTTAAAAACTTCAATTTGACTTTTTTCGATGCTACTTTCAAAGGCCCTGTTTTCAGAGAGGTTAAAAACCCGAATAAACCCTGTGTTCTCTTGTAGTATCATATAATGATAATGATTCTCTCTGGCCCGTTTCTTATTCACTTTCTTATTTTTGATTTCCCTCGTGCTTTTCATTTCTGAAGCTCAAATATAAAGTAGAATTATGTTTACTAATTTTTTATACTTCCAATATTTTCAAAGCAAGAAATTAAAAAGTAAGTTTAATAATTATAATTTTGATTTTGTTTTCTAAATTGACAATCAATGATATATACTTTGTGTGTGCAAGGGCGGATTCAAGGGTGGGCGAAGCTTGGCTTCAGCCCACCCCCCAAAAAAATATATATATATAATTTACCATACTACTTTAAGCCCAACCCCAAAAAGAAAAAAAAAAAAAAATAGTAATGATAGCCAAGTCTAAAGTTAACCCAATCCAAAATTAGCCAACCCCATTTAGAAAGGTTGGATCCGCCCTTGTGGGTGTGTGTATATATATAGGTAAGAGGCAGAGCTCTTCCATTCATTGAATTGGCGGAATCACACTATCAAAACTCTGAATTGAGCTTAGTCAATAATTCGATTCTGTTAAGACACCTGTCTTTATAAGACCTTTTCATTTTCAGTTGAAATCTGCTACTTTTAGAGTGTATATATATATATATCATCACTATGACGTTTTTTCGTGGCATTTCAATCACCAATCATGAAGAATTCGACAGATGATCTTAATTCAGTTGATCAGAATCCAGAAAACTAAGTTCTGGCACCAGATTGGTAGCGGTAGAACTCGCCGGAGACATGGAGGGTGGTGACGAAGCTGATGAAGTAGAGGCTCATGACGAGGACGACGATGGGCATGATCTTGGATCCGCCGCGGAGGTGCCATGCCGATGGGACCGGGTCTAATGGTCCTCACTTTCTCTTCCCTTTACAAAATTTAAAAATACTTTCTTAAGATAAGAAGTAAAAGTATTTTATTAAATATAATTTTTACTTTTAATTTTTAATTTTAAAAATTAAAAGTAAAAATTAGGAATCATTTCGGTTAGTAAATATAAGATTTGAAATCTACAAAACTACGTAGATGGTCAATTTGATCAACAAATACAAGCCATACTTTTTCTCCCTTGTTGTATGATGATAAGTTTGAAAATAGACAGTGATTGAGATGGGAACGAGATGACAAAAGAGAAGTCAAGAGAGAATAACAATTAATAAAACAATGAACACTACTTAAAGTCAATAGCATGAGAGAATAACAATTAATAAAACAATGAACACTACTTAAAGTCAATAGCATGTGAATTACTTGGAATAATTTGTTGAATCTATCTCCAATTTGTTGAGTCTATCTCTTCTACCCTCCCTCTTCTTCTATAGTGTTTTTTTTTTTTTTTTTATAGTGAAAAGTATATATTTTTTAGGTAAAATTAGGCAATCAGTGGATCTGAGTTAGTAGTTAAGTTGTGCATACATTTTTTGCAAATTATAAAGCAAATGAACATTTTTTTAATGTTATATATATTGAGCACTAGTACAATTTTAAAAAATATATATATATCGAGCACTATTAGTACATACTTAGATAGTCATGAACCACCTATACTTGGTGATCTAGTTTATTCAACACTTTTGAATTTAAAAAAATAAATCCGAAACATAACCTAGTTAATGATGTTGATTGGACTGAACCATCAAGTCATAAATTGTCCAAAATCATCCAATAACTTCTCCCAATTTCCATATCTTTACACCAGAAGTGGGCAACCAGAGATTGAGAGGATTTGGGATGATTTTAGGGGCTGAATAAACTAGTATATATACATTGAACACTGGTACACATATAAAAAATATATATATATATATATATATAACGAGCATTACCTGCTATAGCCTGTTTGGTAATCGTTTTTGTTTTGTACTTTTGTTTTAATCCAAAATA